CGTATAAGTTGGCAAATGGCTAAAGAACTTAGTATATCAATTGCTTTAAATTGTCTTTTGCATTTGTCTAATGAAAAAGTGAGTTTCTAAAACGACATTTCCTCATTTGTTCCTTATCATTAATATTTATAACTCATTTACCAGGCACAAATTAACATGCCCCTCTCTAGGCTTTAATTATTTCCCTGATGCCTAGTGATAACGGTGATGCTGATATTGCATAACTGGCTAAACTGAAATAGGTTGAGTAACATATCAAGCCACTGGTTGAAAACTGAATCCTCTCATCGCTGGTTATAATATCATTGAATTATTTTGGAAAATATTATCTCAATATAAATAGAATAATAACGATTAAAAATAAAATATTGAAACATCAGTGTTCCCGTTTTCCAAAGCGTTTTTATACGCTGTAATACAACGTCTTAATCGTAATTTCTACCACTTATGACAAATTTATTACTTCTTAACATTAACACTAATCTTTTCATTGTTTCCTTGATGTTAATTGAATGCTAGTAATTTTGTTCTTGTTAAAATTTAATGATTACGGTATGCGAAAGCATTTACAAATTTCAGAAGGAACCTTTTAAAGTTTATTTTATTCATTCCATATTTTAATAGTTATTTATCTTTTTTTCTAGCAATTATATCTGGAAAATGTGGACAGTTTTTCAGATATATACATCTCTCAAGGTTTGCCTTCATTTGAATTGAAACATCTTGAGACTTACACTAATATTCATCATGGCGATATAATATCTGGTAATAAACCAAAGTTGAACAATCAAAAACGTAATAAAACTCAACATATGCGTCCGTCTACACTGGATTCATGGCTTATCGAAAATGATTAAGGATCTTTGGTTAATAATTTGTTAAATTATGCAAACAATAATATTGTATAAAGATGAATATATTTTGTATTCTTTCAAATTAAATCATAGATGTATATGTTTCGAGGTTTTCATTTTCCTTGTGTAGTAATGATATATATATATATATATATATATATATATATATATATATATATATATATATATATTCCTTGTATATATGAGATATTTCCCCCGTAAATTTGTCTATATTCTTATGTAATATTCAATTACATACCATTTGATTATCATTAAAACCTCTTGATGACTAACTTTGTCATTTGAAAATTCCAGATTTTACACCTTGTTATTATGATAATCTAAACTGTTTTTGTTTGTCTTTCTTCTTCATAATTCATATGGTCATTTTTTTTTGTACACACACCCTAATACTTATTCCTATTCCGATTCATACTACACTTGGTTTTATGTCTGGATTCCTACTGTTTAATATTATACGTCATTATGTTATCTTTGTTGTATTATTTGTCTTCGAATTACACATGTCATTATACGTATGTGTGCCTGCTTAAGTTAAACGTCATTCTGTACACAGACAATCATTTTCATTGTTACTTTTCATTTGTTCAAATGGATTGGCATAGTGTCCTAAATTTGCTTTATAATTTACCTTCTATTTTTTTAATAAAATATATTTTACTTTATTTCTTTAGTGTTAAGATTAAAGAAAATGCTATTCTATTTCTTAAATTTAGTAATTGTGTTCATTTTAATTTGAAGGTTACTTAAATACTTGTTTGTTCATTTGTTTGTTTGCGTTCGTCTATTGTTTAAAATAATGCGATTCGTACATTTTATTGTTATATTGAAGAGCTACTTTGTATGTAATCAACATGTTGCATAATAGTCTTAGAAAATTACTCTTCATTGCATAAATGTAATCATCATAGATAGTTTAATTAGTAACTGGATATATAGGAATTTAAACGGTGTTATCATATTCAGGTCTTGAAAAGAGAATCACAAGTCCAATCTCGCTTTCTCTACTCAGTTACATGTACCATCGTGAACAATTATTCATTCAAATACAGTACTAGTCTACAACATGATAGCTTACAAAGCGGTTTTTTGAACATCTGTTACTATTAAAAAAACTCATCATTCTGTACTAAGTATTAATTCTTTGACTGGTATATGACCAGTCATTTCGATTGTCAGCTATAATTATTGTATTTGATCCGGACACAGTAACGAATTCGGATACTAGTTTTGATGGGGATGAGGGTTTCATTACTGCTGGGAATCAGTGAAATATCTGTGATATTTTCAGCTAGTAATACTATTTTGAAAACATGTAATTTGTTTGATAACAATATAATTATGTTAACATGCGTATAAACGCTTAAAACACCCGGAAAATAAATCTAGTACTATTCTATAATTTAGCTTTGCCTTGTCATATTTAAGAGTTTGAATAGGAAAACAATGAGATTCATCCCTTTTCGTTGTTTATTTGATCTTTCGACTTAGCTGTTTTAAGTATTCATATAGCCGAATTTCATTGAATAGTACATATCACCTCATTATAACGTTCAAAATATTATGTTCAAATGTGATAGGATTATTCATATTTACAGGAAATTATTGAGCATCTATTTGGTTGTTTTTGGTTCAGTTAGGATTACGTAAAACTTTGAAAAAAGTTCCACATAAAGAATTCTATCAGTTTGAGAAATATATTATTCGACTATATATCTAATTATTGATTGATTAAACGTTAGGAATGTAGGAAGTTCCCGGGCGTTATTGGTAAACGGTATAAACATTTTAGGTCTGTTGTTCATAGTCACTAGACTTTATTCCTACATTACTCAAAATTGATCTTTAACATATTTAGTTTCTTATGAATCCTTATCTTCAGTTCATTAGTCAGCTGTGTTTGTACAGAAATCGATCAATAATCGCGAAACTTAAGCTAATAAAACTACTCGGTAGTCATACATTAATAAATTCAGGATGAGCATGTATAACCCTATTTCCATTAACTAGTGGATTTCTACGACTTTGTTTACTGTAAGGAAGCAAATTTTAAACAATACATCAATTTAAATAGTTAACTCTTGACTGTCGATTTTCAGTACACTTTAACATACTTCGATTATTTTATGTTAAACGGCAGATTGGTGTCCTAAATCGCTTTTAGCTTGAACCGGTTTGATGTTTTTTAGTCAAGCAGTTAGACGTACTTTCTAAATGTAAGAAATTAAAAACAAACTATAGCTTGTTAGGTTTTCTCCCGTTCAATTAAATTCGAAATGATTATTATTCATTTAATATGATTTACTCATGTTCATTTGCAGTTTCCCTCATTTTTTTGGACAGGATCGTTTATGTGGAGTGTAATATTAAACATATTTCCAAACCGATAACAATTAAAAGAGATTGCTTTTATGGTAAGTTTTGTTTGAAGTTCATGTTCAACCGTTCATAAGTAACAATCAACCTGTCACTACCGTATATTGGTACAAATGTCACCTTAACACAAAAATAAATCAACCAGATGATACTGTATAAATGTTCAATTTACTGACTGAAAAATGATTTTTTAACTTGTTTTACAGGTGACTAAGGTTAACAGAATTTAAGTGAGTTTAGCATATCCATTCCTAGATTTCACCACTTACCAGTCAGTCATTGCTAACGTAAACCGTGGCCAAAGTTGCCAAATCATATTAGTACGATGTGATGAAATTATGAAATCTAGTCCAGTTATGTTTAGACTAATCACTTACCGTTAAAGTGCAACTAATCACAATTTCGTGTACACTCGTCTTAGAGCAACAATTTTTGTCCAGGGGCTGGTAATCCTATCACAGAAAAGTCTGTCTTAATCCCTTTTTCAGATTCTCTTTGTAGAATATCCATATATTTACAAATAATCAGATGTCTGAACATTTATTATGGTTCTCCCACATTTATCGGCGTAGGGTTTCGGAAACTGTTGAGTTCTGGTGAAATAACAAGCCAATCAGAGTCAAACAACCATTTAAAACTTGGGAGCCCTAGACGGCCGTTTCACCCAAATATGAGACTCCTCGACAGTGCTCATCTACGACTCCACCGCGAGGGAACACTTAACCTCTACACCTATGAACGCAGGTCCAGTGGTGTACTAATTTAACTTCAATCAACCCAGTTAAACCGTATCGGGTATGAGAAAAGTACCCACTGAATACAATGGGAGATGGCTCCTAGCTGTCATAAATAACAAAGTACTTCAACTAATAAACATATTGTTCTACGAAAATTGGTTAATCATCTTTTTAAAGAAAAGAAATATTCAACAAATTTTTTCTATAGACATTCAATATTCAAACATACTACAGAAATATCTATAATTGACCACTTTCAAGCCAGTGATAAGCTAGAGGTCTACAATAATATTATGTTAGTTGGCAACAGTAATCACCTCTTATAGTTGATTGTATTACGCTTTCTGACAATTGATTAATAAGATTGAAATGTAAACTAGCAATACGATTTAATAACAAGCTGTTCAAGATTGAATTTGTATTCCAATGGCATATTTTTTTGAATTAAATATCCCCTGGAAAATGTATTTGTATGAAGTGACTAACAGTGTCAGATCTGAGGTTGACATTAATTCTCTGACTTTAACAATAGAGTTGCAAATTTCAAATCCGGTAAGTAAATAAAGTCAAACAAAATGACCTACAATTCAAAACTATGGTATCGTCATCCGTTTCTGAAAAATACTTGCCAAATCATATTACTGCTTTGACTTTTCAACAGGGTTACGCAAAATATTACCAATTGAGTCAAATGATTTTACTTTGAGGCCGTATTTTATTCAATTGAGAATATTTACAACCTACCGACTAGACATTAACTTGAGGGAGTGTACTGATACTTGAAGTGTTGTTTTTTTCTAAGATTTATTACACAAATTATTGAAAACCCTGAGCTTTATCGTTACTACTAAACTATTTTGACTGAACTACCATCATTTCACTACCAGACCAAAGTTCTTATTTTTACAATACTGAATTAATATCTGCTCGTTAACGTTCTTCTTTTTCACTCAATTTTAATCTCACAGAACAACAGAATTCATGATAATTTCGTAAGAAATAATCATGCAATATGGAAAATTGTAAAGTTAATCTAATTGGAAATTCAACGGATGTTGAACTGATTGCTTCTCTCGAAGACTATAAAGAACCAGTGCGTAGAGTGCGTCCAGATGCATGTAGAAAATCTATACAAGCAAGAAGAGTATGTTTTATTTATTAATCTCAATTTTTTGCTGGTAGGAATATCTTTTCAATTAATAAGTGTCTACACAAGCATTACATTTTTTTTCTCTGACAAAATGTCAAAGTTTAATGTGTTTTATGATTAATAACAGTTTTCTATATTCTATCCCGACTATTATTGGAATTTTATTTATACATCAGGTGAAAATCTTGATAATTTATGTTAATTAGTAATAATCATCCTAAATGATAAATGACAATATTTTTCTTGCAGTTGGTTCTCTTCGCAAAATTTACTGTAAAAATTAACGCGATAATGTTTGCTTTATACAATGAATTTATTGTAGTTTGATGCTGTCTCTTTACATCTACTTCGTACAAGCTAATAAGTTTAATAACTTTTCGATAAATATTTACGTATTTAACAATTAAAAGTATGGGTTTTGTGGAGACTGTTGAATGCCATTGATATAATGAATCATTGAAAACATGGCAGCTCTGGACAGCTGTTTTATCCTGTTATGAGACTACCCAGCCGTGTACATTCACAGTCCTACAACTTGGAGTCGAGCCCAGGACCTTCGGTCTCGCGCGAAAATGCTTAACCTCTATATCGTGTACAATTCTAACTTCAGTCAATGCTGTGTATTGCGCGACCATCTCCCATCGTCTTCAGTGGGTACCTCCCTCGCATCCAACATAATTAGGCTTCCCTGGTCAACGTTTCTCACTTAAACTCCGGAATTTCCTATCGAAATCAGCCGCTAAAAAAGCACATGATGATTATCAATATGTGGGTTTTGCAGATTGTAAGATATTATTGAGTTAGACAACCATTGAAAATCTCGAAGCATCTCACATTAAATATATTGTTCATCAGTGAGTAGTATATTGTATTTAAGATGAAATGACAACTTTAACTATAATAGTTTTGGTAGCGTAGTTTTAGTATGATTTTTCTAGAATATTGTCGAAGATAATTTTATTACACCGAAAAGTTTTATGAATACAAAGAGATGAACAAAATTAAACTCACTAAATTGTAAGTAATTAGTCCTTATTGTTCATTTCTGTTACTAAGACTGCTTTACACCTTTACTTTTAAAACCTGTTGCATTCAATGAACACAAATCAATCGGTCGTATGCTGCATAATTTCTTTTTTTATTGTGAAGTGATTCAGTTTCTTTTTTATGTGGCAATAACTTAGATGAAGCTATCATAATAAATATAATGGAGTAATATAAATTCATTATGATTTATTTTCGAAATTTTCTTTAGCTGCTTAAATAACTTTGTATTCACTTGACAGGGTGGTGGCGATTGAAATGAAAATAATATCATGAATATCATTTAATCAAGTATATTAGGATTGGGGAAATTATTGTATGGGTTACCCAAAAGGCTGTTTGTTTGTGTGAGACTTCAATTATTATTCGATGAAGTGGGAAACAGTAGTTGGGCAAGGTTTTCTATTAAAGAGTCACAGGGACTCGTCTATTACATCAAACAAGCTATAGATACATATATTTTTATTTAGGATATTGAGATACATCAGTTATCAATAAAACTAATATATCCCGACGAGAATAATAAATGGTAACTGTTAGGATCTATTTATGGACTAATATTATACATATATTTCTAATCGTATAATTGTTAGGTAACTGAACTATACATATTCATGTTCATTCATTTTGACCCATCGAATATTATTATACGATTTACCGTCCTTGAATTATGTCCAGTCTATCAATTATAGTCTCCCACATTCACAGACACTTTTGCCTGGATCTTGTACAAATGTTTTTTTTCTATTTTGTTATGTGATGTAGTCCGTTTCGTTTGTATATAAACCCAGTATGTTTGAAATACATGATTCATATCGCGGAGGCTGATATTTGTGTTCTGGACTCAACAAGCAGGGTTAGGCAGGGAGAAGGACCGATAAGGACTCTAGACTGCTAGTACGGGTTTATGTGTCATTGGTCCGGTCGATAAGTCACTGTTCTCTAATTGACGGTATCATTTCGTTACATATTAATAGGGCAAAAGGCCGCAAGTTATAACAGAAACTCATACAATAATTAGCATAAGCAATACCATTTTATCAATATGTGCAGCTGTGCGTAATTTCTTACTGGTGCATTGTAATCTGAAATTATTTTACTTATCATAAGTCATAATACTGAATCTATCTTGACTTACATCTGTGAATTGAGATCTGAATCTGAACGTGAAACAGGTACTTCATGAATGTGATTTAACTCGTAAACTGAACATTCTGTAAAGCTTACCCTGTTTTATTGCCGAATAGAATTCAGGCAGCGTTGAATCATTAAAGCACCCATTCAGGTCTTCATGGGCGTACAAGTCTATTAGCTCCATATTATTTACTTAAGAACAATTAAATCGTTTATTTCTTTTTTTCCTGTTAACTGACTTGTAATTGATTCAGTCGTTTAACTATTTGTTAACACCCACCGAACCTTCCATTCTCTATGTAATATGTCGTTCTTTATATGTTAACACATTGAATAACATATCATAAACTTAAAGGATTTACATCTATACATAAATCAAACTTGTGTTAATTGATGAAAGAGTCTCTAATCAAAGTTTAACATTCATTCAACTGTAATGATTAATTTATTTAATAAAATTAATTAATGGACGATTTAAAAATTATATATTTTACAACATTTTCAGTGTGTTCAACATTTGAAAAGATTGAAAACGCATTCAAATAAACTTCAGTACAATTCAAGTATTCAAGATAACCATTATCAACTATCATACGAGCTGTTTAATTCAATGCAAGATCTGGGTTCAATTTCCTTGACTTTAAATAATAACAATAATAATAATAATAATAATAATAATAATAATAATAATAATAATAATAACGCTAGTAACTGTTCACAACTTCCTCAACGCAAAAACATTCTTTCATATAGAGATTATTTAGCCTTGCCAATTGAAATACGTTATCCATACAATTACGTCAGTGATTTATTTGAAGATGCTCATCCTGAAAATGCGGACAACAATCGGAGTAATAATAATTATGAAGAGTAAATAGTATAGTTATGTTGTCATCTGAAAAGGGGGATAAACCACTTGACTACATACAGCTGATGTATTAATCAATTGATTTCATTTTTTATCATTTCAGTAGTGATGTGTTTATTTATATAATTAAAAAATTACATTTCATATTTATCTAAACATTTTTCCATCTCTTTTGTTTCGTTTTTGTTAAAAGTACCACTGAGTATTTTGAACAGTGTTACTGCTCAGCAGAACGAAACGACCAATTTACTGTTGGACGCAATTGACATCGAATTCTAGTGGATATTTTAGAAGAAATAATGAAGGAATTTGTAGTGGTTTTCATCTCAATACAATAACAAAAATTTTAAAATCAAGGAAAGGGGTGTAACATTAAGCCTACGGTAGGTTCGCGTATAGTCTGAAGGTACCTTCTGTGCTGAAGGAGTGTTAGGAGCAGTAAGTGGAATTGTCTGGAAGAAAAAAGAACAAGAGGAAATGTTTGCCGACGACTCAATAAGCACATAGAATGCACTTACTTTTAAGAACAAAGACAATTGATAACAGTCACAAAAAACGAGTTTGAGATTATGATAATCCGATAATTGGAACAAGAAGTTGATAGTGTAAGGTTTCGAACGTGTTACAAGAGTTAAACTATCTAACCTTACTTACATCCTTACGATTGTTAACCCCTGTGGAGGAACACAGACCGCTCACCAACATTCTCCATCCAACTCTGCCCTGCGAAATTCTTTCCAGTTGCAATTCATCCTTTTCCTGTGTGCTTCCAATTTCTGACGTAGTGTGTTCTTCGGCCTTCCTCTTTTACGCTTCCCTTCAGGATTCCAAGTTGGGGCTTGCCTTGTGATGCAGTTCGGTGATTTCCATAATGTATGCCCTATCCACTTCCAATGTCTTTCCCTAATTTCCCGCTCAGATAGAAGCTGGTTTGTCCTCTCCCACAGTAGGCTGTTGTTGATTGTATCTGACCAACGAACACTGAATATCTTGAGTAGACAACTGTTTATAAATACTTGTACCTTTTTGATGATGGTTGTAGTAGTTATCCACGTTTCAGCTCCGTACAGTAGGACTATCTTGACATTCGTATTGAAGATATTCACTTTGATATTGTTTGGCAGTTGTTTTGAGTTCCATATCTTCTTCAATTTTAGGGATGTGTTTCTTCAACTGTAGCTCTTCTGGGGTTACTGCCTGTCCCGAGCACGGTTCAGGATTGAACATGTGTTCAGCAACCCTGCTAAAAAGACGTTAACCAGAATAAATAAATTAGACTTTCTAATTATTATTATTCAAATCACATGAACAAGTCGTTGTTGACATTGGAGCTTTTTTTAGCTTTCTTTATATACTTTTCGCACTTACATTTTTAGTTAAATTTATATTCGACAATAGTTAACACTAAAATTCAAAGTACATATTTAATCCTTTTCTGTGTTCATCATTACTATATATACTTGTGTGTTTGAACCTTCAATTCGTTCTTGAATGTTGACGTCGAAGAAGTACAAGCTCTTGTAAGGCTAAATAACTGACAGCTATCCCGACTCACTAGCATGGCATGTATCAGCCTAGTGTTTTCGGCCATAAGTATTAGATTTGGGTCCCATTAGGTATATAGATACAGATTCATTCATCTGATAAGTCCTAAATCGGATTGATTTCATCAAACTAATCTTACAGTTATCAGCTCTATTATCTCACACAAAAGTAGTCATCGTATGAACTGATCCATATGAACATTTCATGTATGTGTAGATTTTGGTCTAATCGCTTTCATTGTGATTGGAAATAAATTATAACTATAAATCAAGTGTTTATTTGAGATAAATCTCAGAAACAATTTTCATTGAACTAATTGGAAATGCTGCAACATATCTATGAATAAGAAATATTTTAGAGATGAGAACATTTTTTAGTGTTTATTATGATATAGAACATAACCAACCAAGGATTTAAAAAATCAACTTTTAGAAATGGAGATATTCACTGAAATAAACTTGAGTTTTAATTTATAGGTCACGTTTCATTGCTTTGTTCAGTGGAGTTGTTTATTTATTTTCAGTATTGATTTGATTTGTACCATCTCCAGATGCGCATGTTTATTTGTTAGATCGTTATGTCCTTTTTTATTAACTTGATACCTGAGAGTAAAACATGATTCTTCTGCCTTCTCATGAATCGAATCCCCATCCTTAAATTTTGAGTCAACGTCAATACCAATTCAAATTTGTTCATACGCAAAATAATATGAAAGATATTCGTAACTACTGGTTACAAACAAGTAGTATAAGTTGAATACCGAAGATTTCAGGACGTTGATGGCTGAATAGTATGAATGAATGTCAGCTATGACGCAGACGAAGTTTCTTAAACATCGGTCATGAAGTATTAAGAATAGATTATATCTAAAAATATTTGTTATAAGCTCAGTTACTGAAATTTCACAAGGTCACTCAAGAACCAGTGGGTATATACCCGATATTTTGATACTGAATAGCTATAGATAATCAATTCTATGCTTGAGGCAAAAGCTTTGTGTTTGTATTAACTGTAGTTATTGTTGACCAACTTTAGGACTTATTATAAGACTGAGAAATTGATATTTGAAGTTACAATCGTATCTGTAAACAAAAGTTCGCTAAACTATGAACTGAATAATTAAATGGTTTGAAACTACTAGATATTCGGTTTTTCTGAACATTTATATATATTTAATTTTACTGTTGAAAATGTACTTCTGCTTATTTACTTTCCACTCTGGAATAAGCCTAAATCGAAATATATTTCTCTAATTATCTTTTTGATTCCCTAATCAGCACAGTCTGAAAAATAGTATATCAGCAGTTTAAGGCATTTAAGTATTGTCACAACATTCACGAACTATTTGACTTTAAAATGCTCATGATCTGACTCCATTATAGTCTAATGGTATTGATGTTAATGAAACATGTATCGTACTTACTTTTCACATATTCCGTCGACAAATCCCGTTAATAATAACGTAGATATAACAAGTCGAGTACAAAAGTATTTGAGGTACCTATATTTCAGACATTTAGTAATGCAGTAGGATGATAAGAGACGAAAAAATGTATGTAGACAGGAAAGGCAGAAATAAACAACTCTAAGTGACTTAATGTTTATAAACACGAGAGAAATACAAGTAAATACACCAACGCATACGTACTACCATACACATAAAATGCGTGATCAAGCTTAAATTTGTGTAGTTGGCGAGATCATGTGTGAGCAATAAATGGAAAGATGAGATTAATTTTTCGATCCAAAAGTTAGGATAAATTAAATTGGGTGTGCGATGAAATAGAAGCTCCTATAACTAGATAGAGAACTTTCTCACATGGAAAGTTAAAATGATCTTGATAGCACATTTGTTTCAGTATTAAAATTTCTCATCACCTTTTATACTGTACCGCATTTGATTAAAAGCAGAAAACCTAATCCGCTTTGCGAGATTGTTTTTAGAATGCACTGATTCATTTAGTGAACTTTTATCATGCAGTGGAAAAAATTTAATTGATATCATGAATGGATCAATATTAGGCCACCATTAAAAATCTGGAAGCACTGGACAACTGTTTCATCTTAGTATGGGACGAACACCAAATCATCTTTATGAACATGAGCAACTTTCGATAATCATGTTTTTAGTTCAACTGACTGAAGATAAGTATGAATTTCCTCGTAACATTCATTTATAAACACTCGAACGATTAGAAATTAGTAAAACTCAAAACATTTATTACTATTTTAACCCAAGTATTCATCATTGTTTTAATTTCTCACCGAATGTATCCGATTGATGTTGGGAACATAAAAATGGCCTTGATAAATTTCCGTCTTCTCATTGTTCTATCGAAATTTATAAAAGGGACTAATTGCTTTAAATTTCCATTCATTGTAGCAACTGAATCTGTCTTATGGTTGATTATACAATACATAAAGGGGTTTACTGTTAAACGGACCAATAAACTATATTCTACAGAGTGCACTAATTCATTCTTTTTCAAAGTTGAGCATACTTTCTGACTGACGTGAATATGCAAATAGCTCCATATGGGGAATAGAGGTTAGGGAATGAAGACAGTTAAAAATTTAGCAGACAATTAAATTATATCATTTTATCCAAATACACATAACCATATTAAACGATTATTTTGATGTCATATCAAATTTACGAAAAGTAAAGGAATTTTTCAAATCTCATATTGGAATCACCTCATAGTTCTAATGCGAATTTAATTCACTGAACAGTTACATCATCAAATTAAATATATGAATTGACGGGACGAAAGGAAAAGCGGCAAATAAATTAGGTGTTTAACCATTATGAAATCACATAAATCACAAGTTTCGTACTTATGAAATGTCGGTTGTCATATGTCAACTTCTGGTGGGGTTTTTTACTCTGAGCTGGATGGTTTGATCGTAGAGCTTTCATCGTTATTCTGGACGACATCATCAGTGAAGTGTTCGAATTTCTCCTCATATGGCTCACAGCTTGTCCTGTAGACCTCGATCTTGATTGGTTATTGTTAACCTTTAACCCGACATTGTTTACTTCATTGTTTTGATTGTAGCTCCATCCAGCACAGAAAACAAAACTCCATCAAAATCATCCACCTGAGCTACAAATCTTTACCATCTCACAGAGATGACAAAAACACAGCAGTTGAAGGGTTTCTACTCATCTAAATAACTAATTTTTCAAAGAGTGTTGTTGATTTAAAATCGAAAGAGATCGAGTTCTACTGAAATATATGCTGATTGGTAAAAGCAGTCATTTGTGTATAGGCCACTATGTTTTTTTAAAAGTGGCAAACAATACATAACGTCTTAACAACATTGATTATATGAACATAGTAAACGACGGTCATGATGGTTTTTTTAATACTACGCACTCAATTAATTAGTTGTGAGAATTTCTTGTTTAACGCTCCATTAAATACACCTAAGAAATTAGGTGAGGAGAATATTATTGAAACTGAATCCCATTCCTATCTTGAAAAAAACAAAAATGCCTGATTTATTTTGAATATTATGATGAAGGAGCCAGAATTTAAATTTGGGTACAGAAAAAATTTAAGTGGAGAATAAAATATTCTAAACAAAAACAACAATAAGATTGGTTATTAGTAAAACAAAATTACATTTAGTCATTTCTTTCTCTTTGTACGGGCATATACATATCGATATAATAATAATTACTTATTTGCTTACGCTTGTTAACCCCTGTGGAGGAACACAGGCCGCTCACCAACATTCTCCATCCAACTCTGCCCTGCGAAATTCTTTCCAGTTGCAATTCATCCTTTTCCTGTGTGCTTCCAATTTCTGACGTAGTGTGTTCTTCGGCCTTCCTCTTTTTCGCTTCCCTTCAGGATTCCAAGTTGGGGCTTGCCTTGTGATGCAGTTCGGTGATTTCCATAATGTATGCCCTATCCACTTCCAATGTCTTTCCCTAATTTCCCGCTCAGATAGAAGCTGGTTTGTCCTCTCCCACAGTAGGCTGTTGTTGATTGTATCTGACCAACGAACACTGAATATCTTGAGTAGACAACTGTTTATAAATACTTGTACCTTTTTGATGATGGTTGTAGTAGTTATCCACGTTTCAGCTCCGTACAGTAGGACTATCTTGACATTCGTATTGAAGATATTCACTTTGATATTGTTTGGCAGTTGTTTTGAGTTCCATATCTTCTTCAATTTTAGGGATGAGGCTCTTCTTTTGGTAATCCTCGCCTTAACGTCTGCATCAAATCTTACTTGTTCTACGATGATGCTTCCCAGGTACGTGAAAGATTCCACATGTTCCAGAGCTTTTCCATCAAGTGTGGTTGTTTTGATGTTTTTCATATTGTATTTAAGGATCTTGCTTTTTCGCTTGTCTATGTTGAGGGCTACTGATGCAGAGGCTTCTGCATTTGTCCGTATGTACGGTATAGGTGGGCCATGTCATCTGTGAAGTCCAAATCTTTTAGTTGATTCCGAGCTGTCCATTGTATTCCGTGCTTTCTACAACAACAATTACTTCGGTTGAATTTCACTATGAAAAGGAGGGTTAGTGAAAAAATAATGTAAATGGAGAACAAATTTCAAATAATCCACACTCATTATTCACATCAATGTGGAACAGATTGAATTCACTGAAAGTGAAACCATTTTTCTTCTGAGAAAAAAAAAGAATCAAAATGGTTAATATCGAAATACAAACATTTGTTCAGAGATAATAATTGGAAAGATTTAAAGCGAACTGATATTTTTGAAACTAATGAATAATTCGACAGCAGTTTTACGGGTAATATCAACTTTATGGCGTCATGTAGTTACAAAAATATCAAAGGAAATAATTTTGAACTTGCAAAGAAGAAATGTCTTGGCTTCTTTTGTGATATCATCGTTGAGGCGATGAGGAAACTTGGTAGATGTTGTATGCTTTTGTCAAAATTGTGCTTTTTGAATTAACTGGTCTAACTCCGATGATGTCCAGAATAACGATTTAAGCTCTACGACCAAACGATTCAGCTCAGAGAACAAAACTCCACCTGAGCTACAAACCTTTACCATCTCAATGTCAACTGTTTTTTGAATTTTCTCTAATGGAAATTAACCAGTTGTTATAAGAGTCACATTGAGATAAATCATACTATAAATATGCCCATGTTGCACAAATTGTCGCATAACTATTCTGAAAACATACTTAACCAAGTGGCTTACTCAAATTACATGCTTTCCCATGACAATCGGTAAATATCACGTAAAAATAATAAATTTTCGGAAACACACAACCCAACCCGAGATTTATGGGTGAATTTTGTCCCACAGTTTTTGTGGTCGAGGTAAACTTGGCTACAAAGGTGAATTTAATTCTAAACATTTGATAGTAAAGGAGTAGATTTCACAAACTCATCAACTTTAATAGCCAATAGCCTTGACGGATTTACTACTCTTATTCCTATCCTCTGACCCAAATTATATTTTAACCAATTAAAATAGAGAAACCAGAAATAAAGGTGGAATTACACGACTGATCAAAAATACAATTTTGCATTTTCGTTTCTATTTGGCTACATTTCGGTGACCTTGTTAAAAGGATTAAGCTACTTGTGTGACTGTCTGATCAGATTAGTCATAAAGCGGCCACAAATCGTGTTCTAGCTTGTTTTCATTTTTACCAAGCTGGTGAGCTCATTGCTGTTATGCACACAAGATTATTTGAAATGCACCTATTTCTTCCTATTCGTGCACTCTTCAAGTTGTTTTACATTACATCTGCTTTCTGCACTCCATTCAGACCCGACGTTTTCCGGTTCAATTATAACGATGTAGTTTGTGAGGGAGATCACTATTTATTTAACTGTGAACTCAGTGAATATTTAACTGATGGAGTATTGGGGATTTACAAGCTGGAAAATGAATTTATCCCAGCGAATTTGAGTGCCCAAGAGAAAGAGGTGGCTGAAATTTTCGGAAAGGATCCCTATCCCAATTTGGTTATGTGGTCTCTAAGAGAGATTTTCGAAGAACACGGAGTTCATAAATGGGTAAGTACCTGATGTGAAGAATTTCTGGGAGTATCTAGTCTATTAAGATATATGTTACCATTATGGTTAACCTTAATTAATTGCAGAATTAATAGTGTTTTTCGATTCAAACATTTGGAATTCGGTTTCTATAGGCCTGGAAATAGTTTTTATTCTAATAAATAGTGAAATCAATAAGAGGTTTCCTCAAACACGGCAACATGAAGCACAATAACGACTTGAGTGCTTTTACCAGGTCAAGATGGTTCAAGCTTTTGCAATTACTTTAAATTATCCACCAAACCGCTGAATTTCCTAATCGCATTCTTTTGTTGTAATCACAATACTTCAAGCTCTTTTGTAACAGTTGAATAAAAACAATTGTCTCCGCGATGCCAACAATCTAAGAGGTTAATGACTACTCACACGGTATCTACAACTATGATAGTAACAGGCGACCATCAAAGTTGACAAATTATTGAAGTAAACTAATGTTACCAAATCCTGTCACAAGGTTATAAATTTTGAGATGGCATCTGAGCTATTGAGGCAGTTGGAACTGTAATTAATTCCTTTTTCTTTTTTTAATTATAGCATGCCTCAAATCAACAATACTTCTGTGCCGTCTAACAATTCACATGATTTCGGTCCCGCTTTATTGTTGATGATAAGTAGACTAGAGCACCCTTTCGTGTTTTAACATTTCTGGTCTTTTATCATTTAGTGACTGGAGTTATTTCTCATTAATGTGTTGGAAACGAAGAAATAATTAATCATTAGGAAAATACGTTGGATACAAATATAAGGGATTTCAGTATTGGTCACGCTCCACTGTCAATAGGATTTTTACATCTTATTATAATCGCTTTCCAATATTTAGTGTTTTGGTCCAAGTAAGTGGCCGTACCTTATCATATGTTACGCGTTATCTCGAGTGTGGTACCAGATTACCCAAAACACTTCCTTAGAGTAATACTAGGCATAATATGTATGTTTAAACTACTGAGTACCACGTTAATGCAGACTGAGTCCTATTCACTTGATAATGTTAATTTGCAATCAGTACTAGCTACCATATTTTATCAAGTGCTTGCTATGTACTGCCTACTTACTATGGCTAGTAGGAAAGTCCGTTCTCGAATAAACTGACTTTAGTTCTCACCTAAGCTAACCTTCGGAAACCCAATACTCATCATGAAGAAAATGAAATATTCTTCGTCCTGAAGAGCTGACGTAAGTACACTACTCCACCATAAACTGTATTCCACAGCTACTTAATGATCGATAGGTAAGACATTTAAATCTAAATTCCTTAACGTCCAGATAACCACGTCTGAAAATGAGCAGTTACCCAGTTTGCAAATGTGCTTCCACTTCCCGAAATTCTCGCTTGTCTGAAAGGAGCACGATGTGGTAACAGTAACAAGAAGTTATTTTTCTTAATTATGTCTATATTTGAAAACAATTCTTTCGTGTTCATCACGTTTTTGATGGATATCAAGCAAAGTGCTTATATTAGGCTTAATGATGAAGTCTAGCAGAGAACAAAATCCAGTCTGGTTCTACATTCCTGAAATAACTACAACTACCGTAATAAACAGTAATAACTACTGAATACACTTCAGTCTCATTGTCTTAATTCCCACATGTTCTTATTGACTTATCAAATCTCTTTAATTTCGAGAATGTTTAACCGTTATCACCTGCATTTGTCTCCACAGTGATTTTTATCGTCTTATCGGTAATTTACTTTCGTAGTCACTAGACTGAAGGCTTTTCCATTGTGCAGTAACTGTTATTTTATAAAGACTTTCGTAAGAAAATTGTCTCGGCACTATTCATGTCGTTTTGGGGGAGTTCTTCGTAATACACTGTTGGTTTGGTACTTTTGACTATGATGTAAGGTATGGGATATTTCATATGAAACTCGAATAAGTTTTTTATAAGAATTTTCGTCCAAAGTAAAATGAATAGTTTCACAGTAGTTGGGCACCAAGTTAATGTAAGACATTAAGATGATTATATTAGTAAAAATCTTAGCGTTTGTTCCATCGAATAAGTCTTATCCTACCAGTATTTTGGTGACTGAAATATTCCGTTGGTAAAATAATTCGCTGTAAATGTTTTTAGTTTTATTTCTCTAATGAAGTTAAATGACGTTTCAAAATCTAGTGTACTGTCTTTGAAATAACAATATTTTGAAATAATAACCAGATTACTAATATTCTGTTTCTCATTGTACCACACTAGACATAATTTCCGTATTCTAGGTAAATACAAGTCAGGTCAGGTTTCAATGTGTGTGGGAGCCGTTTTGGTTTTATCTTGCCAAAAAGATGTTTCGATAACCACACCTCTGATAACCTGTTATCTTTTCTATAACGGTAAGGTTTTGGAATACAATAAACTAAGGTATTCATATTCATGATTTATTGCATTGAAATGTTTTAGTATATATAGGGTTTCTAACCTTTATTTACTGATATGGATCACTCCTAAGTTATTCCCTTTAGTTATTCGGTTTCATTATCCTGCTTTTTCCCCTTTTAAAAGGCATGGACTACATCTTACCGTTATGTGAAGATGAGATTTTTAGTAGAAAATAGCTTGTTTTTTGCTCTTAGTTGGACTGGTTTCTATTCATTCGGCCTGATAAGTCATACATTTGCTAATTGCTCGACGTTATCTAGTATACATTGTAACTATCGAGTTCAAACCCGGCTACGTTTAACTTCGTTTAGGACGCTGTGTAGTAGTATCTTTAATCCTCACAAAGTGTGATTCAGATATAAGTACGTGATCTTGTACTTAGCATATGGTTTACATCCCGATCGGTTCAACCTTCTTCGCAGGCTATTTCCGATACACTGGATACATACAGTAGTTTCCGCGTTTGTTAACGTGAACCTGTATTTTTGTGTCTAGATACTACTATACTAGTGTAAACTTAGTATTAGGAGTCTTGTGTGTCCGTGAACGTGATCAAGCTAGCTAAGTTGTTAATCATGCGATGGGGAAAAGTTTCAAAGTTACCAGATAAAATAAATAGCAATTTCTTGAGTTGTATTGGTAATCCTAATCTCCCTGGTTTTAGTGCCTTATCAAAGAACTACGTTAAAACGTAATTACAAAGTGGATAATTTCGATCACAATATTTCAAGTGGTAGAATGAAGTTGACAGAGTATCTGTTAATAATTAGCACTTTACAATTGCTTCATTCAGATGATCAGAATTTTTTCTATAGTCATATATTTTCTAATTGAATATTATTCAACTATTTACATTCATATACATCTTAAATTTACATGCATTGTAAATTATATCACAGTTTCCAAGATGTATTTATTTATTGTCAGTAATTTACTTTATTGATTATCACTATAATTGGTCAAATTATTAATTTCCAGAACCAAACTTACGATCGAGATCACAAAACGTTTAAACATAGATATGGACCACTGACTCAAAATGATTCTGGACTTTATTATTGTCGTTTTATTGTTCCTGGTGAATATTCGACTTTAATGTCGACTTACATGAAACTTGAAGTTAATATGAATTGTCCTAAACGTAAGAATATTTCAATAAATCAAAAGTCTATTATGGTTTGGTTCCGTTTAGTGATATTTAATGAATTTAATGCCAGTTTTCATCTGAAGTTGATTCCATCTGGAAGAAACTTAAAAAAGTCAGATGTTATTTCGGGATCGTTTTTTTTCTATTTTTATGCATTTTAATATTTCATGCCACTAATCTGTTGTGTAGGAAAGATTTAATTGAGAAGTTGACTTCTTAATACTCCTCTATTTTCAATAGAATATCGATCTGCGATAATAATAGATTTGAATTGTGCTGTTGACTTGCACAGGAAATTTAGTTCTGCACATTATCCTTGACGCCTCATATCTTCTTTTCATAGAAAATAAACATTTAGAACATCGTTTAGTAATTATGATTCAATATTACACCGTATTTTTCCGGGTGAAAAGAATTTATAAAATAAAAAGAATGCATTAGAGACGGAATGTTTCTGGACTAAGACAATAATTTAATACTATTAAAAGTACAACTTTTTGGTTGAGCAAAATAGAACCCTTTAGGTTATAAAAAGGAGAGTTTTGAATTTTGATAATGACGATGATGCATACCTTTAGTTGAAACGATAAATAGAATCTTAGTAGATGAATGATGTACAATCATACAGTGTAATTGACTGAGAAATACTTACGAAGCCGAATCATTAATGTAAACATTCGGACTGATATTAAAAGATAACCCTAAAAGTAAAAGTAATTTGGAAGATAAGGGTTATGGTAAGGCAGATTCTTCGTATGTCACACGTCAATGAAATTAGGACCTGGCTCATAGTTTTTATTCATACTCATTGTATCAGGGTCTGGGGTCTTTTTTATGCGTGTAAATTCAAGTTATTGTTAGAATCACCAAATAACTGAACGACAGCCTGATATACATCTTGGAAGTTCTTATTTCCATTAGTCACTGACTTCGATTGGCATTTAGTATGAAGAATAAACATATAAGGTTAGAAGAGAGAAGAAAGATGGAGGACTCATCTACTACATCATTGTCGACTTCATACGGTTTTTTCAGTTCTGACTACATAAGCTTTATTTCTCGATGACTGCTTCATATCAATTTCAACGCAGATTACAAATTAGCTGTCACCTAACTCATTTGTTATTTATACTGTGTATTAATGTTCTCACTTTGATTCCTTTTTAAACTTCTATTGGAACAAAAATTGTACATTAATATATAGTGAATGATTAGATGCAATATTTAAATATCAATGACCTAATTTGTTTTATCTTCACTAAACGCTTTTGAGAATGTATATTTCATTTTAGTAGACTCATCGTTTAGGAGCTATCTTTAGGTCAATGAGTTATCTTTCAACTATTAATAGTCACATAACTTTGTCTGATGATTAAAACTAGGAATTGGATTTATACATTGGAAACGATTCAATGAAATTTGTAGTTTTGTATGGAACTTCGAAAGCACAATTACGGGTTCTCTGAAAGAGGAAATCGGTTAGTCGATTGAATCAGTTTAGGTGGATTTGGTTGTAAATTTCACTTGGAATGAAATATGCACTGTTAGGTATAGTCTCTGTAGGACAAATTTTTAAATGGAACTGGTTTACCCCCCAGAATCTTTTAATGTATGGATAATGATATCATTATTATTTATAAAAATAGCTGTTTCAAGTCCAAAACTTCACAACCGCTTTTTTTTCAGTGGGATTCTAAGGGAAATTCAGTGTCGTAGTGATATGACCCCTGAACTATCCCGACCACTTCTAGGGCTACGTGATTGATTACTTGGTGTTAGTCGAATCAAATAGTTCCGTTTCTAGTGTTGCCTATTTGTATAAGTCAACGATCAGCTACACCATATGTGTTGGAGACTGATTTTATGGTGGAGTAATAAACAGAAAATTAGTCTTAACTTATATTTAAAACTATCTGTATGCTCTAACTTACTAACTTTTCTTGCGAACTGGCCTTAGAATTGGATGACTCATTTAAAACCATCCACCTAATACATCTCCCCATCCAATTTCCAAATCTCAATTCTTGACGCCCACACTATCTCAACTGTCCTGTTGTCTAAGTTTCATGAACGCTTTTTGTGACCTTGATCTTGTTTCAGCAGGTATACATTCTATTTAACTAATCTCTATTGTTTAGTTTTTAATTTATGATCCGTTTTCATCTCATTCCTAGCGCACCAAAAACGGTCATTCAAATACAGTTAAAATTCACCTGGTCTAGAATTTAGAATTTATTATCTTATCACGAATCTAGTAGCTTAGCTACGTGTGATTTAGCTGTACACATTGTGATCTTAAAGACTCCATGTTAGTGTGTGATTGAGTCATCTTGTTTATTGTAAGATAATTTAACTGGCTGGTATGATATTATGTTTTATTTGTTACTTTCGCTTGTGGTCAAGCATTAAGGTAGGGATAGCATTGCAGTTTAATCATCTAAGTTCTTAACAGTTATTCTATGGAGTTGTACTTAATTTTTCTCCATTTTCCGACAGCTTATTTCTAATCATGAGTTCATAGCCGTCTAGCATGTGAACTTGTATTTTGTCACTGAATTCCAATTATTTACTTCGAAAATGCTTTTTGAAATCAGTTAACATGTTTCGGACATGTTTTCTCTCTCTGAATACAATTATCAATAGTTTTTAATTAACTTAATCCATTTATATTTCTATATTCATTTTACTCCTCCTTCTTCCCCCGTAGCATTCATCTACTGGATTGTTCAAATACTGCCATATTTCCTATTGTTCGTCTTTATCTCAGTGATTCTTTTACTGGTTTGGCTATGGAGACGAAAATCTGAAATTATTACATACAAGTTGATAAGTATTGGACGTTCTATAGAGTACTATCAGTTTACTACAAGTGATGCACAAATATCAAATAACAATAATTCGGATAATAATTCATTTGAAAATACTACAAGTTTAATATTAGACCCAATTACTGAACCTGTGATTAATATAAACACTATTGTCACTCGTCGTCCACCGAAATTAATAAATAAAATTAAAGAACGAATTACTACTAATCGTTATGTATCGTCACAAAGTCAGCAACAATTTTACGATAGATTCACACATGAAAAAGATATACAACGTTTAAAAGAATTAGATAAACTATTTTTATCCAATTATCAACTTGAAAAAGATGAAAATTATGAGTTCTCACGTAAAAATCTTCAATTAACATGTCGATTAGGTTCAGGTGCTTTTGGTATTGTTTATAGAGGTGTTGCAGAAAATCTACCAAATTGTGTTAACACTAATGAGAAAATCGATGTTGCTGTTAAAACTTTAAAAGGTTTGTGTTTATTTTTATTTTGTTAAAAATGTGTCCGTGTTTTTTTCCTACCATTGAGCTTGAAAGCGAATCTGGACTACAACCGTGACATAAACCATCGAAGGCGATATCACATGGTCTAATTAATATATCTTTTAATTAATAACTCAGATAAATTGAAATTATTACATGGTTAACTAATTGTTAGGTTTGTAGGGGATTTGGTTAACGGACTGATGTTGGTTAGAGTTGCTAATGAAAAATAGTGTACATTGGTTTGCCGCTTGATCCTAATGATAGACGCACCCATGACCTGTACCACAGTTAGAGTGATTTTTAACCGTTAGTAAACTTTTAGTGAGGTGTTTTTCTATATCATCTTCATTGAAACCTGCATCAATTTAGTTTTCTGACCAATTGCAGTCAAGGGAGTTGTATGGCAGCTAAAATGTCGAAGGATAATTAGAATTTTATAGTTAATGCTTGAGAATTTGTTATATGTTAGACCATCGTTTAAAAGTATCTAGGTATGAAAAGTCAAAGTAATTCCATCTATCAGCATTGAAAAAATTCAATTAAATCACTTAAACTTCACTATTACAAAATAGAATGTCACGAAAGTAAATTAACTGGAATAATTACCAGTGTAATTCAAAATGTATTTACCCTATTTAATCCCTATCAACTAAAAATACCTACGTTTCCCTCGTACTGTCATTCAATACAACTTGTACTTATCACCAATTACTTTAGTTATCAGGATTAAGCGTAATCCCACCATTTGTTCAATACTTCTCAGTCTTTAGAATAACATTAATTATGTAAGCATAAATGTGTACATTTTTCACAGTTTACAAATTTGGAACGACTGCAGTAACTTCTAATTTCATAAATTGCCCATTCTCTTTCAAACCATTTGTTATATCTTAACGAAGAATGAAGGAATGGTAATGACTAGTAATTATTTACGGACTGTTATTACATATATTCCTATTGGATAACTATCAAGTATAACTAGATTATGTATATTCATACTCCTCTTATTATAAGCTTCCATTTGACCTATCGACTATTATACGATTTATTATCCTTATTTCCAATCTATCAGTTATTATTTATTTATTTATTTATTTATTTATTTATTTATTTATTATTTATTATTGTTATTAATGGCTTTATTCAATATCATATTTTGGTACAAAATAGAATTCTCAGCACAACGTATTTCAACAAGTTTCCTTTTCTTATTTCTTGATAGATCCTGGCGATAAATATTGTGTGATCACCAGTTAGATATAAGCAGTTTCAGGAATCGACATCCGAATAATGTTCATTCTTTTCAATTCAGAATGTCGACAACCACGATGTCGCTGATTGTACTTTTTTGTAGATTGTACAACGAAAGGTCATAAATTTTCAACAAATGGGCCTGAATAGGCTATGCGAATAATGGACATAATAATGTGTTAAAACAAACAGAAACAGATAACTTGTTGAAAAATCTAAATAGCAAATAGATAATCAAGCAGGCCATCTATCTCACAATCATAGCCACTTTTAACTTGAACTTGTATGACTGTTACTTTTTATTTTACGGCGTGTTGAGGTCTGATTCGCTTGTATATAAACTGCGTATGTCTGAAATGTATGATTCATACAGTGGGAGCTGAGGTTTGTGTTCTGGACTCAAACAGGCAGGTTAGGTGAGAAGGGACACAATAAGGACTCAGAACTGACCCTAGGTTGCTCATATTGGCTAACGCGTCATTATTTTGGCATAGTGCCAAGGTAGGAAAATCTCAGTGTTCTGATGTAATAATAAACAGACCAAGAGACACAACACCATTTATGACCCCTTTCGTATTTATAATATTTCTTTCATTATAGATTTGTTTTATCCTGAGTTCCTAATACAATGGAACCAGTATACCACCGCATTTGAATTTATGTCTAGATTTGTCATTGATGCCTTAACAAGGTTAGAAATAATAGATTGTAAAGTTATATACAAAAGATTCCAAGTTCAGAGATATTGAAAGAACTTCCAATGTACAACATTGTAGTCCTATTGGGATTGAACAAAATTACTATGAAATATGTAATCTCCGTAAATCACTTTCAATTACTGCCATTATCCCCTTAAAATATACATCTATTTAAATGCTTTGTAATTTTTTTACTATTCATAGATGATTTCACAGAAGAAGATGTGTCTGAATTCCTGATGGAAGTGAATATTATGAAACAGTTGCGTCATAAGCATATCATTGAATTTTATGGAGTTTGTACAGAAGATGGTTAGCCTATATTCTATACCCTCTTCATAATATCAATATTACTTTTTGTATTACTGAATGTTTCTGTCATTTCTTTGATCTTCCGATTGGATAATGACGTTATTCTAATCGGTTATAAACTTCATCAACATGTATGTGGATTGAGTAAAAAAAGTAGGATAGTTAGAATGTTCATTACGTTTAAACTAATTTGTGATGTTAGTGCTCTCCAATATGTTCGATGTTTACAGTTGGAACAAGACACGGATTAGATCGGTGTTTTCTAGTGGCTGGATTGTGCAAATACTCGTCACACTAAAAATATGGACGAAGAGATCTGATGTTCTCATAAAAAGCACTAACTACGAACTGCACGTGATAAAATCTTACTTTTCAGCAAATTGATTGATTGATTTTTGTTTTCCCAAAAATGACATTGTCGAGCCTCTGTATATGTGACACACTAAGAGTGCTATTCTTGGCTTATATGCATAGTCCAGTGAAACACGGCATACAGACCAAATTGATTAATGTGAGAAAATGTGGCTGTTTTAGTATTCATATGCTATCTAAACATATCCAAAAAGTATTTTGTTTAGTAAAAGCTGTTTCTCCAACACACCCACAAATTCTATCCCTCTTACTAAGCTCTCATGTAGTCAGAGCTTTCGGTTCGATATTCATCCTATTACTTACTTACTTACTTACTTTCGCCTGTTACTCCTCGTGAAGGAGCATAGGCCGCTCACCAGCATTCTCCATCCAACCCTGTCCTGGGCAATCCTTTCCAGCTCTTTTCAGTTCTTATTCATCCCTTTCATATCCGCTTCTATTTCCCGACGTAATGTGTTCTTTGGCCTTCCTCTTTCCCGCTTCCCTTCAAGATTCCAAGTTAGCGCTTGTCTCGTAATGCACTTTGATGATTTCCTCAATGTATGACCTATCCATTCCCATCGTCTTTTCCTAATTTCCTCTTCAGCTGGAAGCTGGTTGGTTCTCTCCCACAAAAGGCTGTTGCTGATGGTATCCGGCCAATGGATGTTGAGTTCCTTGCGTAGACAGCTATTGATAAATACTTGTGCCTTCTTGATGGTGGTTGTTGTAGTTCTCCAAGTTTCAGTTCCGTACAGTAGAACTGCCTTGACGTTGGTATTGAAGATTCTGACTGTGATGATATTGGTTGAAAGTTGTTTTGAGTTCCATATATTCTTTAATTGAAGGAATGCTGTCCTTGCTTTGCCAATCCTCGCCTTGACGTCTGCATCTGAACCTCCTTGTTTATCGACGATGCTTCCCAGGTATGTGAAAGATTCCACATCTTCCAGAGTTTCGCCATCAAGAGTGATTGGACTGCAGTTCTCCGTGTTGTGTTTGAGTACCTTGGTTTTCCCTTTGTGTATTTTGAGGCCTACTGATGCAGAGATTGCTGCTATGTTGGCTGTCTTTGTCTGCATTTGTTCGTGTGTATTGGATAGGAGGGCTAGGTCATCTGCGAAGTCTAAATCGTCGAATTGATTCTGAGCTGTCCATTGTATGCCGTGTTTTCCCTCAGATGTCGAGGTCTTCATAATCCAGTCGACCACCAGGAGAAACATGGAGAGAGTAGACGGCTTTGTCTTACTCCGGTCCTCACTTGGAATGCATCTGTCAGCTGTCCTCCATGCACTACTTTGCACTGTAGTCCATCGTATGAGTTCCGGATAATGTTGACAATCTTCTCAGAAACTCCGTAGTGTCGAAGAATTTTCCATAACGTCCTCCTATCTACACTGTCAAATGCCTTCTCATAATCAATGAAGTTGATGTAGAGTGACGAGTTCCACTCAATTGATTGTTCGACGATGATCCGTAGTGTCGCAATCTGGTCTGTGCACGACCGGTCCTTACGGAATCCAGCTTGTTGATCTCGAAGTTGAGCGTCAACTGCGTCTTTCATCCTGTTCAGTAACACTCTGTTGAAGACTTTACCCGGTATTGACAGTAGTGTAATGCCTCTGTAGTTTTCACACTTGCTCAGATCTCCTTTCTTTGGAATCTTGATGAGGTGTCCTTCTTTCCAATCCATCGGCTTTTGTTCCTCCTGCCAAATCTTCTTGAATAGAAGATGAAGCATGCTTGTAGTTACTTCGATGTCTGACTTCAGTGTTTCAGCTGGTATGTTGTCAGGTCCTGCTGCTTTCCCGCTCTTGATTTGTCTGACGGCCATTCTGATTTCTTCGGTAGTTGGTGGATTGACATCTATAGGGAGATCTGTGTGTGCTGCTTCGATGTCCGGTGGATTCATTAGTGCCGGCCTATTCAGGATTTCCTCGAAGTACTCTGCCCATCTGTTCCGCTGTTGTTGAATATCAGTGGTTGGTCTTCCTTCTTTGTCTTTGACTGGTCTCTCTGGTTTACTATATTTCCCTGCTAGTTTCTTCGTTGTATCGTAAAGCTGTTTCATATTTCCTTCTCTTGCAGCTTTTTCCGCCGTCGTTGCTAGTTCTTCCACGTATTTGTGCTTGTCGGCTCTAATGCTCTTCTTCACTTTCTTGTTTGCTTCTATGTACTCAGCTTGTGCTTGGACTTTCTCTGCTCGTGTTCGGCTGTTGTTAATTGCTGTCTTCTTGTTCTTTCTTTCTTTGATCCTGTCCAGTGTTTCTGTAGAGATCCATTCCTTGTGATGATGTTTCTTGGGGCCCAGAACCTCTTGACACGTTGAAGTTAATGTTTCTTTGATACCTTTTCAGTAATCCTCCATAGTAGTTTCTTCTTCCTTCAGTAGATCCTGTAGGGCTTGGAACATGTTGTTGAGAGCTATCTTGAATTCGTTGAGTTTGTCGGTATCTCGAAGGAAGGCTGTATTGAACCTTTGCAGAGCTGTTTGTCCAGTTGTCCAGTTCTTCTTTAGCTTCAGTCTTAAATTGGCCACAACCAGGTGATGATCTGAAGCTATGTCCGCTCCTCTCCTGGTTCTTACATCTTCCATTGTCCTTCGGAACTTCTTATTGATGCAAATATGATCTATCTGGTTCTCTGTGGTGTGGTCCGGTGAGATCCATGTAGCTTTGTGTATACGTTTGTGTGGAAATGTTGTACCGCCTATGACCAATTTATTGAATGCACACAGATTTACAAATCTTTCCCCGTTTTCGTTCCTCTCTCCCAGTCCATGTAGTCCCATGATATCTTCATATCCGGTGTTGTCTATTCCGACTTTGGCGTCTAGATCTCCCATCAGAATGGTGAGGTCTTTTCTTGGGCACTTCTCTATGATTGATTGCAGCCTCTTATAGAATTGATCTTTAACGTCGTCGTTGCTATCATAGGTGGGTGCATAACACTGGATAATGTTCATTGTGATCCCCTCCCTATTTGTTTTGAATGATGCTTTGATGATTCTGGATCCGTGAGATTCCCATCCTACAAGTGCATTTTGTGCTACTTTGGACAGCATTAGAGCAACTCCCTGAGTGTGTGGAGCATTTTCCTCTTCGTGACTGGAGTATAGCAGCATCTCTCCCGTATTTAGCCTTTGTTGTCCAGCTTGGGTCCAATGGGTTTCACTGATTCCCAGTACTGCCAAGTTGTATCTCCTCATTTCCGTTGCTATTTGACTGGTCTTCCCGGTCTCCCACATTGTCCGGACGTTCCATGTACCTATAAAAATTGTTGCTCTGGTTGTTAGAAGGGGCATCGGCCTCATGGCTTCCGAAGGAACTCGGCTTTCATCCTGAGGCGTCATATTTCTTCTAAATGAAGACCTTCTAACTCCCAGGGCAGAGTTTAAATGGTTTGAGTTACTTTTTCTGGTTAGCGTTGTTTTAGCGAGTTAGTTTTCTACGGGATGGGGACGCTAACCCCATGCCCAACCCTCCTCCTTTATCCGGGCTTGGGACCGGCAGTAACTCTAGGAGAGCTACAGGCGGAGTTATTCATCCTATTAAAGCTGCCAAATTTATAGTTACAACAAATCCTACCACATTTCGGTGACTTCACAACCTACGATGCTGTTATTGTCGGTAAGACATCAGGAACTGGCAACAAATTTATCATTATTGGGGTTGTGGAGATTATTAATTTTTTGATTGAGATCATCAGTCTATTCATGATCTCAATCAAAAACAAATTTATCAGTTTTGTCTATCACAACCTAAGGTAACATGAATAAATTACACCTAAATCCTATTAGGAAATCATTACGTGACTAGCATGGGAAGCAAACACTACTTTGGGACGGATCATCCCAAAGTTTGTACAGGTGATATGTACTAATATTACAGGTTTTACGATATTAACTTAAAAAGTAGCTTACGACTTTGCCCAATTAAATCAAATCATAATACAGAAACCTACAAAGAAACAAAAAATAATTGGTCTGGAATATCCTCAAGTCAGTTATACCAGTTATGCATGATCTGGAACCATTTACAATAAAAAATTTTATTGAGCAACACGTTCAGGTTGTGGTATGATATCAATTCCTCAAGGTCGATGTCCCTTTTTTGTCAAGTTTTGTTAAACTATCAAGGTTCTGGTTGTTTTGATGACTTTTTATAAGTTTAGATATATATTTTACAGGTTTTATACATTTGAATACATCTAGTAAGTACCAGTGATTTTATACTCTAGGCTCACCACTTTTAATAATGGAATATGCTCCTTATGGGAATCTCAAAGAGCATCTACGTCGTCATCGGAAAGTTTGGTTGAATTGTGACAATTTATCTCTGAAACTCTTAAATTTTGGATGTCAGGTTGCTAATGGTATGAAATATTTGGAGTCAAAGTGTGTAAGTATAATTTGGGTTAAGAGAAAGATTCTGTTGTTCATATTAACATGGGGTTTAAAATTTAAACCAAGATAGTTTCCTGTTTAAGCGCGCTTATTAGTTTATCATTATCATAGCTTTTGTACTGAAAAAAAAAGCTATACAACTGGCCTATATTTATTTTGCAAATGTTCATTTTTTAATTTCTAAGGCAATAATTTACTAAGCTAACCCCGTTTGTATGACGGAAGGTAATAAGCACCTCAATATGGGCTTAGTTGGATAAACTTATTTCATGAGCTCGTTCAATCATACACACATTAAGAATGAGAGGTGGAAAAGAAAAGCATACCGGAGAAGGCAAGCGTGTCAACTCCATTTGATAATTCGTGACTCAGTATATATAGCCAGACAAAAATAGGTTCACTACATATGATGAATAGCATAAGGAATACAAATACATACGTTATTATAAAAACGGTCTAAACTATAAGCGAATGATTGACAAGGTCAAAATATGACTCATGAAGAATTAGTAAATTGGTCTGTCTGGAAGCAAGAATAACTATGTGGACTTGATATAGTACTAGACACTACAAGCTAATATTATTTACACTTAAATCCAATTTGGTTGTTACGGTCGACCAGTGAGTGGTCACCAATCTCACATTTGTCTAGCCCTTTTCAGTCCTGATGGAACTCTCTCGATCAAGTTACAGTGCGGTCACCAGTCTAGGTGACTCGACATTGCGTGCAATGTGTTGAGATGTTAATTATTTGGAGGTCGTTGATAAAAAAAACCCCTAACTAACCTGTGTTTTGCGCTATTTGGGACTCGTCAGAAAGGTGTACCAGCATTATTGAGGGAGCTAATTAATGTTGTTTATTTGGATGATGGCATCAAACTCGCTAGGCGGCACCAGTTCACTAATTATTGTAAGCGTACCTTGCTGATGAGTGCCAAATAACAGAAAAACCTAGGTCAGTCAGAGTTTTCTGTCTGCTTCTTCCAACCGCTTAACATTTTTATTTCATTATATTCGTCGTTGTCTGCTTGTTTGTTTTTGTTTTTTATATCTAAAAACAGCTTATTCATCGCGATTTAGCTGCTCGTAATATTTTGGTTGGTAAACGTTATCAACTAAAAATTGCTGATTTTGGACTTACAAGATTTGCCGAAAATTATTATCGTAAAATGAAAAATGTGAGTATCCACCAACCGATGATTATAAATTAATTAAGATCATGAACCGACTAATGTTAGACTATCATTGAGAACCTGGAAGCACTGGACTGCCGTTTCATAGTATTATGGGACTCTTCAGCAATGTGCATCCATGGTCTCGAACCCGTGACTTTCGGTCTCGCTCACGAACGCCTAACCTCCAGACCACTGACCCGGCATCCAGTAGTGTTAATATGTAACTTCAACCAATCCATGCTATTGCTCGATCATCTTCCATTGTCGTCGGTGGGTAACTGCCTCATACCCATCATGGTCGAACTCCACTGGTTATAACTAAAACTCAACAGTCTCCACAACCCTATACTGATGATTATAAATTAGTTTTATCATTACTCTTAACTAAAATTATAATGATAATAAATATTTTGGTTTACTGATTTAAAATATTATTTAAGGTTGGAATATAACCAAAACTTGAATTTAATTTTAAATTCTACTCCTTTATATATATCTGAGATGTCGCTTGTCTACAATTTCACTATAAATTTAATCAGGCAAATAACATATGACCTATCGTGGATTTGAATTAGTACAAATCGACAATATGAAATTATCAAAACTGCGATTTAATTAACAAGGCAAATATCAGAATAGTCGAAACAAAAATAATTATGCTGATTGTTTAAAGCACTAAATATTAAAAAATATAATTCAAAAGGGAAGGCATAGAAAAGGACACATGAATAGATATTAGAAATCGGAATCTAGAGGAAGATAAAAGGTGAAAAAATGCATTTGCACTCATTTGATTGATTTCGAAGATATATTACATTACGTCTCCAGGCCGTGAACACGATCATCGTTCAGACCTCAATCAGGTAGTCTTTATCTACTACCAAGGCTCAGACCAATAGTCGCTGACATTATGGGCAAATGCCGTATTCTGATTTATTCCTACTTAAGCCAGCATAGAACTTCGAGGTAGGTGGTGGTCTTACTTAAGTGATAGACCACATTTTTAAGTTGGTTTTCAGTTCATTTACTTCCAAGTCGGAGATTTGAACTTTATAATCTACTTTGGGTTGAACAACCAAGTAGTATTACAAGTCTTCATACGAAGAGCCTGGTTCAAAGCCGATTATATGACGAACCCGTGCTTAACTAATAAACTAGATTTATTATAAACAATATGGTCAATGGGATTCACCTTATCGAATTTGATACTTATACCACCCATATTACTTAACAATTGATTCATATATACGGGTCAGAAATCTCACCTACTTATATTGCATAGGTAGTGAGTTTATAACTTCATAAAATAATTCCTTATTTTCTACTGAAGATTATACTTTTCCAACTACTTTGTGTGAACTAGTAAACATTTCTAACCAGACAAAATTAAATGTCGTTACTCATTTGTTCTCAATGGTTCTTTAACTGTTGTCACCATATAACCGAAATTCTTGTAGTTTACATAACGAACTGGTCTCAAAAAGCACTGAACAGTTCTTTTGTCCCCTGGTTTTCAGTAGTTGTCCAACTTAGATCAGTCCCCGATATAAACTCGGAAAAATCAATCTTGATAAAACCCCATATACTAATGAAAGCATTGTCTTAATTACTTGGAATAAACTTCGTTTAAATTAATTTACGCAAGTCGGTCATACTACTTGTTAAAATAGTTTTAAAGTATTTTTTTCATTCACTCGTTATCTGTTTTGCATGTCGCAATTAACCTGTCATCAAGGTTAACTGATCACATGTAATTTGAAAAAAAATGCTACATTGTTTTAATGTGATCAAAGTTTTGTGCTAGATAGTTTCAATGGAAATGTTTTTTTATTCAGAAAATTAAATTTATAATTGTGTCGAGGATATGCTACTTATATCAATTGGAATAGGTGAATACAAAGCAATGCTTTTCATATAATGAAAGAGGAGAGAGTTTAGTAAATATATTGTTCATCTAACCAAGATGATTGTATGAATGTTTCTATACGCGTCAGTGCCAATTTATATAAATACGAAAGGGTTGTTAACATTATTATTCTGCTTTAGCAATAATAACAACTATCCAGTCAACTTTCTGGGTAGTTGAGTTAGTAAAGAATTCGAGAGTGGGCGTTAAAAACTGAATTGGGCTGTAGAATATAATAGGTTATAATGTAGAAAGTAAATTAATTTGTTATCGTTTCACAATTTAACACATTTTCTGTTTACGATTTACATTTAACAGGGTCGTGTTCCTTTAAAGTGGTTAGCTCCAGAATCTCTAGGTGACAAAATCTATACAATTAAGTCGGACGTGTAAGTCATCTAATAAAAACTTTCAAAATTAACTTATTTTTATATTTATATTAGCATTCGCTTACCTGATGAATTCGTTAGTAGAAACAATGATTTTAGCAAACAAAATTATTGGATTAACTAATTCGTGATGAGTATAGATAAGTGACTTGGTGATATCATTAACCTTGATACAAACAGTTATGAATAAAAATGTTATATTCAGTTAATAGATTAAAGTACTGGTGTGTGAAGTCTAACAACTACATGGTACAACCTATTTTCACTAAACAAGTAAATAACAAACTAATTGTAATGGATTTACCTTGATATTCAATTTTTGAAAGGAATCAGTAGAGGTAGGACATCCACTAGAATATCATTTCTACGATCTTTTGTAAACTTGTACTCCCTCATTTTTCTTATGTGAAGTTAAATTAATAGATTGACGTTTATTCTTCAATCAAATAGTTGTTAGAAGAACCTAATTTTGAAGTTTTTGATCCATTTAATATTTTGTTGATATGAATTTGAAATATCCAAAATTTACCCCATCTTAGATAACATACACACGAACAATAAATTTGCATTTAATGTGAAAAAACAGTCGAAAGCCGCTAATTATTGACAGAAAGATTTGAAAACGTACCTCTCAACTACATGATTTTTGGATATTTCATGCCTGGTTTTATTAAAAACTTTGCCTATTAGTCATTATGGCTTAATTTTGGTCATAATACAAAATGTTTGTAAAACAATTTCATACAGTTAGATCTAGAAAGCTGAATTACTTTATCTCAAGCTAACTATTATGTTGTTTTATTAACAAGAGGTGCATAAAGAATTGATGGATTAAAAGCTGAGTATATAAATGTGAGATCATTCAACAGTATTATTTGTCTGACGAAAGCATCCTTAGAAGTATGTGAATCAATTCGTCGAACTATAATTATTCAAGCTCTGTATTTCCTCATGTATTTCAATTTCACTTATGATGAATACATACTCAATGTCGAACGAAGTTATAAATATATCTTGGTTGTATGGAAAATATACGTACGTGGCATTGGAGTTAATAAAGCTAAAAAAGCATTGAATATCAAGTATATGTAACGAGTAAAAAATCTGGTTCGACATTGTCAAGCAATAATTGATTCATAAAAAAGAAGAGACCTGGAAAAATATTAAAATAGCAGTTACTCATAAGTAACATAATTATATGAAATAGTATAAATATTACATACTTACCTATTCACTTCAGTCTTTACAACTCAGTTATGTTACTAGAACCCAGTTAAATTTTGTTGACAAGCAATTTAATTTAAATCAGTTATTTATTAGGTTTTTGGTCATTAAAAACGACTAAGTAGTATTAAAAATACAATGGCTTTAAGTTATTTGAATAAAACTTTGGTTTATATGAATAATACGTTTTGTAAAGTTGAAATGTAACGAGACTTACAGTTGAGTACAACTAAATAAACTAACTCAATACTTTATGAATAGCTTAGCGCTATCCTATGTGACTGGATACTCGTTAAAGCTATTGGAGAGTGAAGATTTCCCATCATAAATACTGTTGTTTGAACTATTACACTCAATGCGGTACTGACAAATTAGATATTCTTATTATTAAATTCTTCAGATTAATTCTACATGACTAATATACTTAGCTCTTGCGCTTGTGTCTGGCAAAAGGCAGTAGAGGTTTTCGAATCCTTGCAGAGATTTTGTCACACACCAACCCTTTAGGGTTGATCAGACTTCCAAGATAAGTGAAGTTATCAACGCGTTCGACTACTTCACTCCCTATCCTTAGTTCAAGTGTTGGTGCAGGCCAGTCCTGAAGCAAAAATTTGCATTTAGAGGGGGAGAAGCGCATTCCAAACATTTCGGCATTGTTGCTCAGTGCTACCAAAAGACTGCGTTTACGTACCTGAGCATTGAATTCACCTTCTACGGGTACTACGTCTGAGCGTTTAGCTCTTTGAAGAAGTTCAGAAAGCTTTCTGTAAAATTTCATCTTTCACTTCATCCGGACTGCAGTCAGTGGGAGTGTAGACAGAAACGACGAAAAGGCAACGACGTGTGTCCCTGTCATTTCCAGTTCTTACGAGCTGTTTAGCCTAACAGTACATAAAGCGATTGTTAACGGGGAACCATTCTAATAGTTCTTGTTCTGCTTTCTTACTTAGTGTTATGCCTACAACCGCCAGTCCATGAGACCTAGCCATCAGGTCGCCAGACGAACTGAGAGTGTATCTTGTCAGCTCTCCGTTTTGACGAGGTGAGGCCAAGTGAATGACCACAGTAGGATCCTGTATACGTGTTTCGTAGGCACAGCATTTATCAATGGTACGAGATTCTAAGGTTAGGGGTGGTCTTAGTGACCTGAGAGCGTGACCGCAGTGCCCAAGGGACAACTGCTTGAGGTCGGTCACACACGAACTTTTTGTAAGTAACTTTCGTTTTAGCTCCGTACTTGTTGAGACCTTATCGCCGGAGACGGATATCGTCGGATAAAGCCAGGTGCGCGATTTTAGGGTTGACGTTTTCTTAACCCACCCTTCGTTTGTGGGAAGGCAGCATCGCTGTCATGCTGGTTGTCTGAAGGAAACACCTTACTGCTGTCACACCTCTGTACAGTCAGCAGTACGACTTCGCCTTCGGACCTTGGATTTGTTGCTTTTAGTCTTACCGCTCTTCAACCGACCTGTCTGGCTTGGTAGGCCCTTGAGGAACGGTTGTTCCAGTCAGTATAGCTCTATTGGTTCATCACTATAGGCATTTCCGACCACCATATCAAGGTAGCAACAACGGTCGAATGCGTTGACAACTTCACTTATCTTTGAAGTCTAATGGGTTGGTGTCTGATGAAATCTCAGCACGGATTCGAAGAGCTTGTTTGGCTTATGCCAACTTACGTCACCAATGGCGCAGGCGAGATATCCGTCTATCAATTAAGGGTCGGATATACTGCGCGGCAGTTCGTTCCGTTCTACTTTAAGGCTGCGGAACGTGGCCATTAAGAGTAGAAGATACTCGTAATTTACTAATATTTGACCACAGCTGTCCTAGAAACATAGCTCGCATCTGCTGGGATCACCGGGTAAGTAATAGTGAGTTTAGACACAGGGTATTAGGGAATGATGGTAAATCATTTGATGATGAGGTTATGAATCTTCATCGACTGCGATAGTTGGGCCACGTGTTGCGTATGCCTGAACACTGATTATCACGACGCGCAATGCTCGATTGTTTCATCACGATAGGCATTTCCGACCACCACGTCAAGGTAGCAGCAACGATCGGGCGAGGAGGCAGTGAGTAGGACTTCCATGTCAGTGGCTGTGTACGCGTGACCATGTGAGAGCATTTCGAGAGGGAGAGCTTATTCTTCCCACCCTCCACCGTACCATGGGATTTGGGGTCCCAGAATACAAGATGACGTTTTTTTATTTGGAAACTAACAATATACGCTAGTAATGCTATACGGATTAAATTGCAGGGCATTTAAGTCCTCTGGTTAGTAGTGCAATACTATCACAATCCAGTAGTCTATATTTTGTAACTTTAATCACTTTGCGATCCTCATACAAAGTAGCTGATAACCTCGACTTGGTTGAGCTTGTATTTTACATTTTCACATCATAATTTTGAAAATTACATTTAAAAGTCATTCGCAAACAGTTATATGAATATTATTTCGTTAGAAATTTCGTAGAGAATCTTATAGTTTTTGGAGGTTGCTTTTGTCACTAACTAACATCAGTTGCAGAGCTACTATGGACATACAGAGAAAATTGAGTAATTGTTTCTCCATAGTCTAGAAATCAACAATAGGTAATGAAACCTATAATAAACCTTAATCGATTTGTGAACACTCGGGACGTTCCATTATCAATGCACAGTTTTCATGTTTATTTGATATGGAAAGTTGACTGGAAGTGAAAATTCCTGGAAATATATAAACTGATATTTAGTTAAAATATATGCCACAAATTCACTATTTTGTTTGGGATAATAGGTTCACCAAATATGTCGTCATAATCCAACGATACATCATATGGTACACATCAACTCTATAAATTAACTCAATCCAAATGGACAATTATAAGTTTCCTTATAAAAATGATATAACTGTACAATTGATTAGAATGAATTAAAAGTAATTATGCATTATTATGTTACATACACTAAATATTTACAAACTTCTTTTTACTGAAATTGAAATCGTTTTATTGACCACTGTTATTTTTATAATTTAATTCCTCTTTTTTTTGTTCATTACTTTTACCTGTGCCTAAATGTGTAACTTTATAAATTGAATTGGTACATTTATTGTCGTAATGTACTTGTTTTTTCTCTATACATTTGTATCTTTCTATTTATCTGTCTGTTATCGATCAGTCTAAAATTGTGCAATAGAATTTCACTTTACATGATTAAATAAAAGGAAATCAATAATTGAAAACTTTAATGAACACCCTTCAAAGTCGATCCTAGTTGGTCGGTTGTATTGACTGTGTGTTTTTTTTTGAAGAAAAAGAAATATTGTGTTTACTTTCTATCCTAGTTCTTTTGTCTATTCAAATTTGGTTTTCTTTTCTTTCTTTCCTGTTACATTATCTAACTGACACATAATTATTGTTAAATACTATATGAATTCCATTAGCTTATTGATCTGTTATTTACAGAATGTATTATGTATAAACAGAGTTAAGGATGTCATTCTTAAAAGCTTATGATTTGTTAATAGTTGTAACTTGGACTTTTCTAAGTAATTTGTTTCTTCTTCAACAACAACAAAAAAAATTCATTATTGTGTATATTTTAGATGGGATTATGATTGACATAAATGAATGACTATAACAGTCTCTTTGAGGTTGATAGTACAGTAAATGGATCACATAGGAAATTGTCGCGTATTTCTATATTGATGATTTAGTTTAATCATTGTATTGAAAATAGAAAAAGGAGATAACTGAGTCTCATGTAATTGGAAATGATCAACAAGGAACTTAGAGATAGCAAATTCGAATCGTACAGAAAGCATTAACTTTCTGGTGATCTGAAATAAATCGTATTAACAAGTGTAAAATGACACGGAACCTAGATACATGACATTCTTGCTGACCGACTACCTTTAACAAACTAAAATCCAAATAAAGCGTACTCTATATCGACTTAAGTAGACTAGTGGTTACATTGACATTTTGTCAACAAAATTTGATCAACACTAAGAACTAGACATACATGATATTGGCAAATATTCAATGATCAATCAATATACATAAGTTATTTAAAGCTAAGAAGTTGATCAAATCGTTTCAACAAACTTTGCCAAATAAGTTAGAATTTTTCTGTAACTTGTGTTGAAGTTATATTACAATTTCTATATGATTCACATTTCCAGTCAATAATTAATTGTACTTCACTATCACTTAAAGTATTTTAGTGGACTAATCATAAATCACTCATATTGTACCTACCTTGATTTAACCATTATTCATTATTGCGATATTTTAATAAGATAGATTATCAGTCAGTCATAAACAAGTCGGATTAACAAAGGTAATTCATCTTTTAATATATTTCCATTATAGAAAGATATTTGTTATGAAGGAAAGTGATTTCAAATTTCAACGATTATGAATGATACGATATCATCGACTAATAAAACTGTTCATGAGACCGATATCAAATTCCACTCGAATAGACTGTTATCAAATTAATAAATAACTAGCTAATAGATAATATTTTTATTCTATCAATATACCATGCTTAAATACAGAATATTAATGATGAAGATAACCATAAAAAGTTATTTGATGAATTGTGGGGAATTGTGCAAGATACTATTTTCATACGTCACCGAATAGCTGTTCAAAGTAAATAATACCTCAAAATGGTGTTATTTTTTGCCATTTATTTCACAATTCATGAAACACAAAATTTTTTTACTTTTAAACTTAGACAAATAAATATAAGTTTTTTTTTAATTTTCCTTTATTAGCTGGTCATTTGGTATACTATTGTGGGAGATTTTCACGCTTGGCTCATCACCATATCCAAATATTAATGTAACAGAAATTATACAATCAATTCAATCGGGTGTACGTAATGAAAAACCATTATTAGCATCAAATACAATTTATCAAATTATGTGTAATTGTTGGCAATTAGATCCAAAAAAACGATTATCATTTTCAGAATTAGTGAATTTATTAGAATTACAAATCAATGAACATGATGATCGTACTGAAATTAGTGAAACAACATCGGGAATATCAACATATCATGATGATGGTGATAATCATAATAATTGTAACAGTGATTTACTAACAAATAATAATGATAAAAATTATAAAAAATTAGATATGGACATTACTAGTACGATTAATGAATATGATAGTTTTGATTTTTCTGACAATGACCAACAAAATGATGAATATGTTAATCATCCTATTTTGTCAACAGCATTCACAACTAATGAAACCATTCATGGTTTAGAATTTACTTCAGTTTACTGTGAAATGATAGCCTAATAGTTATAATATACACTGTGGGGTTGGAAGTGGAGAAGCATGAAATATAGAAGAAAACAAATATTATATATTTGTACAGTTGTGATTATCTGTTATAGCTACCTTTTTTTAAATGTCATCATTCCTGTGTTTATTATTATCATCAGTGTTTTCAACCATCAAATAAAAGTCATTTTTCTCAAAGTACATGTTTTTCCCCACGCTTAATAGCATTTTACGTAGAAATTGCTTGTCATATATGTCGAATAGACAATCTGTGCTGTTCGAATTAAGTTTATTAAAAGTGTAATTTTAAAATTGATTTTATTATCCAGCAATTTACATGTTCTATCATATCATTTTCCCTATCTTCACAATTCTCAGATATATGGTTTACGTTAGTTCACCAACATATTAAGCCTTTTTGAATAGAGCAGTGGCTTAGTGGTCAAGGCGTTCAAATTTCCACCACTAAGTCTGTGATTAGAACCCTGTTGCAACTGTATTGGTTTGGGCAACCGGAGAGCATCATTGGTCCTCATGCCTAGAACGTGCCTCGTACTAGGTGTTTGATGAATGAGTTATTTTGACTTCATTAAAAATTCAGCTTCCATGCAATAGGTTGAAAAATGTTTTGTGCTTACAGAATTGTAGCCGAAACTTTGTGTATTTATTACTCCAACTAATGGAGTTGTGCAAATAGTTTCCTAAATTTCTTCAGATCAATATTCGGCTGTAACAGTATTAAGGAATTGATGTAAACATTATCTGTCCGTTTTAAAATATAGATTGCTTTGTTTTAATTTACCTACCTCTATCAACATCTCTTTATCTCACATAGGTAAAACTGATGATTTAGTAGTAATGGAAATGTAGCCTTTCCAAGTTGTGGCTTCCTAAACTCCAACCTCTAGTACTTTATTCATCATTAGTCTTCATTTATCTTCAATAGTGGATTAGCAGGTCCTCTGTATCGTTGAACTGGTTATCGTAAACATTAGTTACTTGATCATCTTTTACCAATTAATTTGAGTGGACTAAATTCTTGGATCATAAGCTTTTACCATCATAAAAGTCATTTAATAATTTACTTACATACACTTCCTTGAAAATATTTCGCGATCGATTTATTTAACATTGATTACTTTTATTGTAATAACGTTGTACTGTACTGGTTATATTCCAAAAAAAAACTTATTGGGAACATTTTGTTGACCTATTATAAAGTATACAATACGTTCTTGAAATGGTTTTCATCAGATCTACGATAACAGGAATTCACCTTTCTTAATGCTTTTATAAAATATACCGAGCTATTAGCACTTCTACTGGTTAACATGATTAAAGTTGAGTCTTGGCGCCAGTTAAAAAAAAATTAACACTAAAGAAATGACAATGGATTAATTATCTGTTTAAAGTATGGTATTGAGTAAAGCGATTATTATCGCAAAGTAATTTTTCAACTTCTAAGCAGAGATGGTGGTGGCTAGCAGTAGAATCCAGGACGAGCGTTTCGTCCAGTTTGGGACTTGTCAGATGGACGTACCTGCATCCCAAAGTTGATGTTCGCCTCGAGACTCGAACCCAGTACCATTTGCTCCAAACGCCATCGCGTCACCCACTTAGCTGCTGAGCCCTGATGGCCACTAGCTTGTGTGATGGGTAGTGTTTAATTCCTTTTTTTATCGGTTGTTTGAATTTTCCCATTGATGTTTAGGACTGCAATTAATTCAGGTACATTCAGCTGACGAGTCCCAAGTGGGACGAAACCCGCGTCCTAGATTCCACTGTTAGCCACCGTTCTTAATGCTTGTGACTTAAGGTAATATTGAAGCGGTCCTCACAGGATGCACATATATCAATTTTAGTCCTAAACGTTAACGGGAAAATTCAAATAACCAATACAGAAATGAATTTCTTTCAAATCGTTTGCGTCATTGAAATTTAAAATCAAATTGTAAACCACTAGAGTCAGACGTTTAGTCAATGAACTATTTAATCTGCGATCTACCTCCCTTGCTTATTATCAGTGTTCGTTGTCCAGTTTCGGAAGAAAAAGTCATGTATTTGTACTTGTATTTTAGAAAATGTTCTTTTGTGAACAGTGATGATAATATTTGCTAAAGCACTTATAACCAACTGAAAAGTTTGCCAATTATTTTCCATATGATTCTCTCTTAATGTATTTTGATTTAACCTTCCAGATTCTTGATTTCTTCATGTGATATGAGTCACACGTCTATGTGTATACATATAGGTATAGAAATAGATCTCCCTTTAATGTACTACTAATAATAATACAAATCATCTATTACCTGTTAAATTCATTTCATAAACTTGTACTTCATAAAAGATATTCGGTTTTTAGAGGAAAGAATATTGGTTCAGGTAATTTATAAGATTTCAGTTTAAATAAGGTGTTAATTATTTCATGATGAAATAATGTGAATATATGAAGATTATTCTTTATTATAATATGTGACAAATATAGGAAGATAAATTCATTTTCCTAAATTTCTATGTGTACACATGACTACAACAAAATTAAAAAGGTCAGTTTTGGTAAATAATAATTTATAGTTGACTTTTCCATTAATTTACTTAGAAAAATTAATAGTGTTTTATGTAGTTAAGGAAATTGGAATCTCAGATCTATCTAATTGCACTTTATTAACTATAAGTAGATCAGTACATGAAGACTGGAAAAGACCGTGAACACATATGATAGTCGGATGTATGAGTAGAGCGTTTAATTATGTACAAAAAATTTTTCATTTCACATAGAAGTCCGAGTAATTCTTTATAATTTTGTGAAAGAAATTAATTAGATTACATAATATGATATTGATTGACTGACTGAATTGATATTTGAAGCTAAAAAGCTTTAAATACGAGAATGTAAGATCTGGTTTGTAGTTGAATTTCTTACTTCAATCTATAAAACACTGGGTCACTTGTTGTTGGAGTGACTAAGAAAATTCCTCGATAAAATCCACAACAGTTCCTGAAAACACTGGGGAACATTCTATACAATCAGCGTTGAATAGAAGTTTCTCGGAAATGTCTAGAATGTGAAGAGTCATGTGTCACATTTCTGATTGGATGGTTACCTATCCTGCTACAATGTTTAGTAGGGTTCCAGAACTATTCAGAAGCCCAAGGCCATCTGAAATGCTATAAATACCCTAAATTTTCTGTACATAAACTGACCTTGGAGTAAAGCGTTCTTTCCATATTTCACGCCTGTTCAAGTTCTCGTGTAGCGTTAGTCTGGTGCTATTAGAAGAGGTTCGGAAACCGATTCAAGCGTTCAGTTAGAAGACTCATCACTTGTATGATAGTTAATTTTTAAAATCTTTACATGATCCAGCTTAATTTTCATTAAGAATTATTACAAGTAGATAGAAATAAATACGACCATGTGAATGACATTAGATTACTTTTATTATTTCCGTAAATTTATTTGTACATAAATTTGGTCAGTAATCCATCATAACAATGGAACAAGGTTATTTGATTTATTAATTTACTTGTTAATTACATTTCAAAATAGACATCAACTTAGTTACATTTTTGTTGTAATTATTTATCATTAACTGTTGAGCACCTGTCGATACATCGTATGATTTGGAGGTATATTTAACGGTTGTTTTACATAAAAGCCCTTTACTACCTTTAACCTTGAATTCTTTGTCTCACTTACAAGAAACTTTACAGGTTTTACAAATTATCTATATTATTTTTTATATGAATTAGCTGAAACCTCAAAACTTGTTACTTTTGTGGAAACAGTTTTAGGTGGAAGACATTCCAAATATGGGATCTTGTGTAAATAATTCAAGGATACTAAAATTACTAGAATAATTAAAATGATAAAACTGATGTTGGTTTACTTACAAGAAAAGATAGAAAGATAGTACTAAATATCTTCAACCATTGTCACAAGTGTTCTATTCAAAATGAATAAAATAAGCAAATTTCAAAAAAGTAATTGATTGTATTTAGAATTTTCATACCATTTATTGATTGTAATGGTGATGAAAGAATAAATTGGTTATAATCATGGTGAAAGATATGTAAAAAGTAGGATGGAAGGTATTAACTGTATTTACATACAAAGAAAAAATAGAAGAATAATTCTTTTTTTATATAAATTGGCTATTAAATAAATTCGTAAACAATTTAGGAAAACAAATTAATTGATTTAATAGTCAGTTCTAACCAATTTATGATCCAGCTTTTCTACCCTACAAATTACATTTAACTCAACTTTGATTCGATCTGTCTTTATCTTGTATGATGGCTACAAATCGATAAATTATTGTGATTTCATTATGTAAATGAAGTTGTTCCGTCTAGTATCAATAATGCAATCTGATTCATTGCTCTTTTTAACTATCAGTCAGTCTATCCACGTTTCACCTGTCCAGGTATTTATCCCATATTGTTTTATGTTTTAATAAATAATTTAATAATTAACGAAAGTTACCCATAGTGTCATCGGAAAAATTTAAGACAATTCAGCTAAAAGAATTTTCTTTTCGATAATATCATTTACCGAAGTTGTACACATATATTAGCCTCAAAAAACGAGGATTTTCTAAACACATCTCCGAACACTATCTTGAGTGACTCTTGAAAGATCTATGTAAAACAATCAACAGTTCAATATGAGAACATCTTGTAGACTTTAGTCACATGGCCCCACCTGATAATTACTTCAAAATCATCGATACAGTCGAACGATTTAGTTTTAGAGGAACATTTATTGATAACATGTTCGTTTATCTTTTCAAACTTAAGCACTATGTGTAAAAGAGATACGTGCAAGTTATTATTGTTCCATGATCCTGACACCTAATTTTCATAAACGGTAATTTGGTTGTTAATGCACCCTTTTAGTGTTTTTTAATCTTTTTATTTCTAGTTATTCGTAATCTCTTTCATGTTTTTCACTTATCCTTCATCCTTCGCAACAATATGATTTTCAAATCACATTTGACTAAAATAGATTTTTGTATAAATTGTTATGACAAAAGTTAACAGTTAAATTTATCAATTTTTTTGAATCATCGGTTTGTACTTTTACATTCGTTCTGTATGATATCTAAATTGTCTATTTAGTATGTTGTGTCTTGTGTACATATGTTAAAATATACATTCATATTTTGATTTTTTTTTCTTTTCAGGCATTTATTATTTGACCTAGTTTTCCTTTTTTTGCATATTCCTTCGTACTGATAAACACATCGTTTTATTTTTTAAAACCTTTGAACTAGAAAAAATGGTCGAATTTATGGGCGGAAAGTTTGTAGAAATTGAATATTCTCAAAGAGGTTATCGATACGCTTGACTTCTGTTGTCGTTTCTTTGATGATACGTTCATTGTCATCGATCAGAACATTGGAAAAGAAGAACTGTTATTTAACTCTTATTTAAAAATAAACACTCAGCAATCGAATTTGAGTGTGAAGAGGAACTTGATAATAAACTACATTTCCTTGACGTTTTGTTAAACAAAAAAGAAAATGTAGGTATCATTACCAAGACTTGACTTAATAATTCCGAATAAATTGAGCATTGGGTAGATTTTTATAAATAAATTAATATATTTATAATATCCCAATGAGTAGAAAAATTAAATTTTCTGACGTTTCATGACTGAGTGTAAGCCAATTCTTTAGAGAATAAATAACCAAATCAAAATTAATCCAAGTTTGGATTGAATTAATTTTGATTTGGTTATTTATTCTCTGAAGAAGTGGCTTACACTGAGTCAAGAAAAAAAAGGTTCTATCAGTAGAAGCGTGTATAGGAAAAGTTCTCCAGTGAGCCGATACACGCATTTCTTGAACTTTGTACCCATTCGTTATTGGAGAAACCTAGTTAGATATCTTGCGAAAAGAGCTAGGGAGATATGCTCAGACGATACTATAAACAAGGAGCTAGAGCTTATACATCATATGTTGGTTGGAATGGGTTGTCTACAAGGTTATCTGAAGAAACACGTTCATGTAACAAACAGGAAAGTAGCAACATCACCGGCTAGTAAGAAGTCTCTCTTTCTGAAGCTGCAATTTAACGGAGATATAGCTGGTGATGTAGTACGTGATAGACTGACTAGAGCGGTGAAAAGAACGTTTAACTCAACCAACCTCTTTATCATACTCAACCCGATCTATGACGATTCCTCAACTGAAAGATAAGTTACCTGGTTATGCCACTTCTATGTGTATCTACGAATTCAGCAGCTCCTGTGGAGAAAGCTATGTTGGGCGCACTACCAGGCAACTGAACCAAAGAATTAGTGAACACCCCCCCTTCGTGGTTAGGAAAAGGTAACGTCAAGACAATACGCAACTCCATTCTATCACACTTGGTCGATAGCAGTCATGTAGTCGACAGAAATAGATCATTCAGAGTTAATTATCTAATTTCTACCAGTTTTCCTTATGGGGTTCGATCTCGTCTCTTATACATAACAGAAGCTATAGGAATGCAAGCTAACAATTCAAGTCTTTGTACTCATAGAATATTTGTAATACCTTTATCTCTTCCTTGGCCTTAATAAATGATATTATTTATCATTATTTTCCATACTCTTTGTTCGTTTATTTTTTCCACTCCCTCCCACCTACTTTTTTCCCAAATTTACGCTTCATTGTCCAATTATCTGAGTATTTCTTAATCTTGTGGTTTTTATGAATGTCATCTCAGCATCTATATTTTTCAATTCATTGACCTAATTCCCACTACAAAACATGGTACAAGCCTTTATTATTCTTATCACAACCAGCATACCTGTCATCACACTATCAATTTGTACTCTTTAATTATTATGTTTATCTATGTAATCTATTCCATTGTAATTACTGATCCAAAATTGCCTTGATTGGTTTAACATTTTCGTATAAATATTACTGTATATATATATATATATATATATATATATATATATATATATATATATATATATATATATATATATATATATATATATATATATATATATATATATATCTTACTATATATTAGAGTAAAGCCTGGTGAGGATATAATCAAAAACAATATTGTTCGCTTATATATTCTATTCTTTGGTTGTTCGTAGATATTTTCTACACAAGGCTGTTGACTATGGTTAGTCTATAAACTCATAGGTTGTGATAAATTTGATGATAATCCTAAAAGAATTCTTGTTCTGGTATCTATTCAACATAGTAAACAGGAGAACATCAATAGAATAATTTGCTTAGTAAATATTTTGTCTGTTTTCATGTAAACTTCACACATTCATTAGCTAAAAGACTCAATTAAAGAACTTAAAAGAATGATAGTCACATCATAATTGGACTTCTATGGGAATGGGAAGTGTTTATAGATTAGATCCTAAGTGAAAATGAATGCATTGTTAAGGTCGTAAGTATTTCTTTTTAAAGTTGCTTCAGTTTATTACTATTTTAATTAATTACTGGCCTGTTTTTGATTCATTAGTGTTAGATTTATGGAAATCTGGAAACCGGTTAAGTAGTGTTTCAAGCGTACAGTGTATGGAACATAATAAACTTATGTAATCATGTATCATTTTAATGACATTTGAAGAATTCCAAACTTCACATCTCATAAAAATAACTTACTGAGACAAAGGACCTTATTTGACTCCTACAGAATGTGTTGTTAGATGGTCAACAGACTAATGTTTTGCTTTACATTAACAGACGAATTTTACTTTATTATTATTATTATTATTATTATTATTATTATTATTATTATTATTATTAACTTATTACCGGGTACAAATTCATGTACTTGGCCTTGAATATTACTGAACCGCCTTAAGTTTCAGGTCAAATAATTTGAATGATCATAACAAATGATGGCGTTTAAAATATACTACAATGCATTACTTTATCATTTGCAAAAAGCTGATAAGTACTGTTTTGTACAAATTCAATCACCAAAACGAGTGGTTAATAAAAATTCGAAATTTTAAAATAATCAGACAGGTTTTGTTCATTTAAGATTAAAGACTTGATATATGTAATTAGGTGTAAAAAATTGCAGTAACTTTAAGTTTGAATTGTGATCTATCTAGAACACTTCAACTCCAGGAATAATGTCGTTTTCTCCGAAACCCGATAAACATCCAGACGATTGATAAGACTTTAAGAAAAAGTAAAGTTTTTCACTTGTAGTTTTTGATCTGAAATTCATATTTCATAAAACTTTTCATTATCTATAGAGATGATAACTATGTATGACTGACATCTGTTTATCTCCTGGCAAAAGTATGCTATGGTCGTAGAGATTTTATTTACTTTGAATTCAGTTTTCATCACGAACATACATCAGTCGGAGAGCTTTTAAAAAGCTGGGAACACTGGACAACTCTCTCATTCACGTCTGCATCTCAGAAATGAACATCCAAGATGCCACACGGAGTCAAAAACATGATCTTTAGGTCAACACTATTTGATTAAGATAATTATTTCAAACCGAAGAGTTTATGTTTTCTAATGTGAGCTCATAGACTTATATAACTGAGAAACCTAGAATTATCAGATATTCACTGGTTCTCTAACGAATGAAAATTACTTTCGAATAAACGAATGTACTCAACCAGTTGATGTTACAAATTGATGAAATCGTATTAGTTATACAATAACAATATAGGCTTTAGTGATTGAGTTGAAATTTAGTAGATATTAGCAATTTGATTGTTTATTTAGAAAGTAGTACATGACACAGATAACGTTTAAGCCGATCATTTGAATCTGACTGCAGTGCAGGCATCTTAGACTTTCGTAATCAACGACTAGAAAATATCCAATTTTATTCAAATAAATGATATTCTAGATAATTGAATACTACTTATTTACTGATACTATAAAAATGAAACGAAATCATGACAAATTGTTTTACTTTTACTAAAAATATTCAAAATACATACTAAAAATACTAACTAGGTTAGTTCTATGTGAGAGGTAAGCTAATCTGAAACTTAATTTATAAATTTCACATAAAAATTGAATAATTGGGTTGAAATAATGGAAGATCATCAAAATATCAGTGTTTGTGCAAAAATATAAGGGTCAATTTTCTAAAATTTCTCAAGAAAAACTAAAGGATTCAACCGTTTCGAAGGACCATACGCAAATATACTCTGATTTACCTGACTAGCGTGATATAACAACCATCTAATTCAATTTTCAATACAATTGAAATACTTGTGAGAAAACCAACACTGAACGGTAGATAAGGCAAGTTACTGTCATTCACTTCTTTAAAATTATTAAGATTATTTATTCAACCAAATAGTGCGACTGCATTCGCATGTATGAGACAAAAAGGTTTTTGATCTCTAGTATGAAATGGTTTACCTTCAAGTGGTTTTTGACATGCAGCACAACTAAAACATCTAGCATGGTATTGTTTTCCACAAGCTTGAATAAAACGGTCGATCTCTGAAATGGATTGTTTACACTTCGCACATTCAATCTCATGAAATTGTTTCCAATGTTCTTCGCATAATACACGATTATCATCTTCCACATGAAATATATCATCTAATGGTTTTTGACAGTAATAACAAATGAAACAATATGGATGCCATGTTCGATTTATTGCTTTGATAATTTTACCAATAATTGGTAAATTACACTTGGTGCATTTATAAGCAATATGTTGTTTAAAATCTTTTTCACAGTATAATTTTCCATTCTGTTCAGCGAAACCATCTTCGTTTAGTGGTCGATGACAATAATCACATATGAAATGATTTGGACAAAAGCATCTGTCATTCGTATCGATAAATGGTCCGTGTATTTGTTGTTGACATACATGACATATAGGATTAATTTTAAAATCTTTTGAACGTATCACTCCTCTTAGTAAAGAATTATCTGGTTTTGTGTTAGTTTTGATATTAGACTGTGGTTGATTCATTGTACTATATTTAGACAGATCATATAATGATGAATAAGATGACTTTAAACTTATATTATTTTGTGGTGTGTAAATTGGTGATGTACGATTTGTATCTAGTTTTTCAGCCAATATCCGATTATGTACTGTAGTCGAGTTTGGACGGTATGATCTTATTGTTATTCCATTAGGTGAATGAGAACGAGATATTGTTGGATTTGTACCAATATGAACAAGCTTAGATATAACCGTTTGCGATTTTAGTGGTTCTATTGGTTTATGAAGTTCAATATTTAGTGATGATTGTGTTATAGACATGTTCATTTGATGTAGTGGTGTAGAATAACCAGAATTATTTAAGCCAGTATCATAGACCTCCATTTCCAGATCATTGCAGCAACGTATAATTGCTTGAATAGCTTGTTGGTGAGTCATTTGGCTAGTAGGATCACCGCCAATAGATAAAACACGCATTCCAGTACGTAAGCCACTGATATCTGCCAAACCTCCAAGACTCACAGAAGATATAATAAGTGGTTGATCAAAATCTCTTCCCCCTCGAATACAGAATCCCCAAGGTGAAGCAGAATCAGGTCTTGAAATACGTATAAAAAATGACATTATATTAACAAAATCTGCAAATAGTTAAAGCTGACAATAACTAATACTGTGAAAAAATTTCCGGCTTTTCTTCCTTTTATATTGCCTAACTCAGATGATGAAGTGGGTGTGTATATGTTTCTATTATCCTTCTCCACAAGGTCATTTGTATGTGGACCAAATTTCTGGCTACCAATCACCTTAAATGGTGACAGTTTCAGTTTCTGTGATTGGTTTAGATATGGTTATCGGCATATAATTTGAAGTGAATTTCACTTAATATTACTACGCTATACTTGTTCCTAAATTCTGTCACTCTCTAAATTTCATCATTTGATGAGTATGAAATAAACAATCATTAAAAAGTGAAACTTAACACATTTGATCACAACTGTTGGAAAACACGACAAGAGGCGGTAGGTATGAACACTAGTTGCGAACAGTTACAAAGTATTTACATAATACATATACATGGCCTTCAATCGTCCATTTGAATCTTCCGGTGTGTTTTGCAATCTGAATCGTTTTCTCGATTGGCCTCCAAGTGTTCCACTAATGCTGTGCTTTTAATGCACTGAAACTGTTGCAATTTCATATCCACTTTCCGCTACATACTACTCATAATTATCCACTACACTGTTTGAAATTTACAACTATTTAAAATCAATAAAACATGGTTATATAGGACACTATCAACAAACTTAATTATAGTTTCATTCAGTGATCTACAAAGAAAACCACATTGAAATAGCTTGAAAATTTATTTAAATATGACAAATCATACTATGGAAGTCTGGAAAAGTAGAAAGTATTAAATTATCTGTTTGAGTAATAGAAGTGTCAAAAATTATTTTTCTCAATTTATATAAAGAATCTAGAACAGTGTTGACTCAAAAGGCTGCAGTCATCAACTACTTTTTGTAGTTTTATCACAGACACTAAGATAATTTAAATCTCACTTTGAAATCTCGCACACTTTCAAGTATTAAAAACGTTAAGCAGCTTGATCTGGCTTCTTTAAGGATATTCCTTGCTTTCTTTTTAGGTATTCTCGAAGGGAATCAAAGTTCTGCATAGCGCGCATATCACAACTTTTTGAGATAATATAATTCTAGACTGTGAAGTGATATGACGCGATAAGTTGACGTTTTGCATCAGTTCAATATAAACTTCTTTTAGGATTAAAAGTGTGAACTTTTGATTATTCAGTGTAACACTTGTTTTATTTTCAGTGTGATATTGTTGGGATATTAAAAAAAATATCCCAAAAATCATCCTGTTAAGTCTAATGCTATCCTTCAACGTGAAATGGTGTCCTTTTCCTATTGGTCAGTATTTATTTCGTGTGTCATTTTCCTATTGGTCAATATTCACGGTCCTCCTAACTGTATAAATATGCATTTGTTTGTAAAGTATTATTATTATTATTCTCCTGACCCCATAAACAATTTTCATCTAATGGTTCGTGTTCTGATATATTGGGGATTGGGGAACAGTGTTGGGGTTGTACTGGGATATTTGCAGTTGATCAATCGGTAGAATTAGAACAATAGGATCCCTCGTGTCCCCGATCGTAGCCAACCTTTTTATGGCATACATAGAATCAAATATCTTCGCCTACAACATTATACCACGAATTTGGCTTAGATATGTTGACGATACATTTGTTGTTATAAAAAAGACTCATCTAAGATCTTTTTCAAAACGAATAAATACACTTTCATCGCACATCAAATTCACCAATGAAAATGAAAATGTACATGGTGAGCTACCATTCTTGGATTGCTTAGTAAAAAGAAATCCAAATGGAAGTCTAAACCTATCCATTTACCGAAAACCTACGCACTGAAATAGTTATATTGACTTCCATTCAGCACATCCTTTCAGTGCTAAGATCTCTCTAGCTTTAAATCTTTTTAGAAGAGCTAACAAGATCATCACATCAGAGGAAGACAAACAAGAAGAACAAAGGAATGTAATTAGCATCTTACAATTTAATAATTTTCATCGGAAAATTATTAGAAGCATATTAAAACAAAACAGTTTATTACGTTATAATAATGATTCGAATGAAATGCCATGGATTGGCACTGCAGTTCTACCATACCGTCATGGCACAACAGAAGAAATCCAAAGAATCTTAAAACATCACAGAATTAAAGTATACTACAAAACAACGAACACACTACGTAATACTTTAGTTCGCCTAAAAGAAAAAATCCCTTTTATGTGCACACAGAACTGTGTCTACAAATTAGGTTGTATCGATTGTGATGCCTATTATATTGGAGAGTCATCCCGCGAAATCTTGACTAGAGCCAAAGAACATATTAGGTACACAAAGAAACCTCCTAACAATCCTGTAGAATTGAACCAAATTCAAATTAAATCAGCAACAGCAGTTCATGCCATTTTCAACAACCACCAAATCGATTTTAAAAATATCAAAATATTGCAAAAAGGCTTTTCCAACTACAAAGAAAGGAGGGTAGCTGAGGCGTTCCATATAATGCGTAATCCAACTTCTCTCAACAGAAAGGAAGGCCTTACATCCTACTTGGACCATCTATCCTAGCTATTCAGTCTGATCGTATTTACAATTTCACACTATCATATTACAAATTTATACTCTATCCTTTCTTACCATAAAGGTCACACAATTTTTCATTCCTAAACAATTCACACATACATACACACACAAATTTACATACATATCACTTATGAATCACCTTGACAAAAATATGACATGACATCAACTTGTTCATACCTGTTTCTTGATTGATCAAATATTATTCATGCATTGTTCCGTTGTACTACTTAAACTTGGATTAATTTTAATTTGATTATTTATTCTCTGAAGAAGTGACTTACACTAAGCCACGAAACGTCAGAAAATCTAATTTTCTATTCATTGGGATATTACAAATATATTATTTATTCATAACAATCAACCGAATGCTCAATTTATTCGGAATTATCAAATCAAACCTTGGTAATGATACCTATGAAATTCTTTGTTTTAAATTGAAGTGATGTTCAGTATGACAGGCAGTATGCGGTTCGTTATAATTCTGGGCTTTTTTATGGTATGTAACTTGGCCATAATTAATAATCAAGCGCGTGTACAAATCTATATATAGATGAGCGTACTTTCTACTGAAGTCATCATCGTGTTTTCTAGCTGGATAAGTCTTTGCTAGTACTAATCTTCCGTGTCCTTACTTCGGGTCGTGAGAATTGTAATTGTTCTTTGTTTCAAGAATAGGTAATAAGCGACACGGACGTAGCTTCCATTTATTGACAATTATATTCCTGTTATCAATTCGGGTGAAGTGTATTCAGTGTGCGTTTTTACAACAACACTACATATGTTTTATTATCAAGTATGTGTAAAAATCAGTATGTGAATGATTGTATTTTGGTCTCATGATAATGTGACTTTGGGAATTTTTTCTCAGTAAGGGGATGAATCTTAACTGCACCAGTCTTTTGTGGTCTTAATTTGCGTTGTGGGAATTGCAGCCATTTCCGTTTCAAAGTATAAGCAGTAAGACTGCCGATATAATAGAGCTGATACATAAGAGAAGGCTACTTGACGTTTTTATAGGGGCCCCACAGTTTAACAATGGCGATGATCCCAGACAAGACAGGGTCGACTAGCACACTTCAGGAGAACTGGGAGCTCCTCATGATCCGCTTAATTTCTACAGCCTTGGGGTCAGAGTGTGGCAGAAATTACATGCACTGTCATGTGTCGCTTCCGAAGCGCTTCTGTCAAAATCAACACTAATCTGCCAACTAGTAATGTTGAGTGCTCTTCAGTACAATTTGTCATGTCCCGCCGCTTTAAAAAAGATTCAATTGCTTTTAAGTTAAAGAGATCTACTGGTGTTCCAAGCTTAAACTTGTTGAAATGGAATGTTAGTCCTTGATATATAGTTTTCCGATACCGTTCGGGTATGATTTCAACATGCTTAGCTCCGCTTGCATATTTACCAACTATTTGACGCCCAAGAAGGTCACGAAATGAAATGTTATTGGGCGGTAGGTACATATTTCTTGCTTTCGTCAAGGACTTATGCTCTAAACTTATATTCATTAATATCGAATATCTTTATAATGAGCGAGTGTTAGTCAAATTAATTCTTTGCACTAACTCCTTGTTTCGCTTCCACGTCTTCAGTGAAATCCGATGGGGTAGTCTAACTTTTGAACTGCACTAGTTATAGTCAATTTGATAGTAATTTGTGGGTTTGTTTATCCTTTTAAATGAAGGCGGGAATGAGCCACTCCGCTAAGTTTAACTACAAACTATCAGACAAGCTATTTACAATGGACTGCTGAAGTTAGACCCTTTATTATCACAGACGCAAAGAATTCAATGAAATTCTTATATCATTCATATGTAAGGATAGCTGCTTTAAAAAATTTTAACGAATTGTATTATCTAGCATTTCGGATATTTTCCCTTTGATTTGTTGGGTGAGTGTTGGGTATCAAAGCACTAAGTCTATTAGGAATTTCGATAACTGTACATCTGTACATACGATACTGCACGCATTCTATCCCATCATCTACAGCATGGTTTTAGGAAGGAAGTCAATGTAAGGTCCATTGAAACAGTACCAGAAAAAGGTATTTGAAGCTAGACTGCTTCATGTATTATGACGCTAGCAACCTCGTTTCTGTTAGACGACGGAATATAGTTCTGAACATTTATTGATTACAACAGGACGCCGCAAGTACTTTGCTAGTGACGCTGGGATAATCCAATGAAAATAAAATATAAGCCCATGTGCTATCGGTCACGTGGACCCGGTGATTATTGTGGTTGAGGTATTTCTTTGGATCCCTGGTGTTACATCTCTTTTCTTCGTGTATTGTGAGAAGGTTATCGTGGTAAGACTTACTGACTACCATTACTGCGTCACAGACTAATTCGTAGGTTATCCAGGACATACTAAGATTCTTGGAGTTGTGAACGTAACTCAGGTAAATAGTTAATACTCAATTGTGGTCGTTGAAACAGAACAGATGAAGAGACTTGATGTAATAGTTTTTCATTTTATAACAACAAGTAAACTTCCCACAAGTACTGTTCAATATCGGCGTAAGGAAACAGTGTTACAATAGACTGACTCGCTACAGTGTAAGAGAATTCTAGTACGTGTTCATTTGTGTGAAAAGCTCTTGTTCATCCATTTTACTTGTACTAAATTTCTTTGCTTATCTTTTTACGCAATA